ACGACGCTAAACGGCTTCGTCTCGTCCGGCAGGGTCAGGACAGCGAGGACACCTCTTGGAGGCTGGCCTTGATGCCGTCAAAGCATCCTGGTGCTCTTGCTCCCAGCGCCAGTCGACATCCTTCTGAAGGAGGCCCGACAAGGGCTTAGCGAGGCCCGCGAACCCTGCATTGTACTTGTGAAGGTAGTTGGCCAAGCCCAACCACTTTCGAAGATCCTTTTGGGATCGGGGCGTCGGCCATGCTGCTATGGCCTTGACCTTGTCTGGATCAGCCCGAACGCCCACGTTGCTTACGAAGCAACCGAGAACTTTAATCTCTGGTGACGCGAAAACGCACTTGTCGATGTTGGCGTAGAGCTTGTTCGCTCGCATTACGTCCAACACTCGACGGAGGTGTCCCAGATGCCCCTCCATGGCCGTCTCGCCTCCCTTGGCACGGCTATGGACGAAGATATCGTTGAAGTACGTATGTACGAAGGTACGCAAAGGGCGGAACAATTGCGTCACCAGGCGATTGAACTTCGCCGGGGCGTTAGACAGGTCCTGTGGTATGACGAGCCACTCCCAAAGCATGCCGCTTGGAGTGCTCACCGCGGTGAGCGGGATGTCACTCTCTTGCATCAGGATCTGGTAGTATCCGTCTACCAAATCCAGCGCAATGTACCGTACGCTCCCGGCCATGTTGTTTAACAACACATCCTTTCGTGGGATTGGTGTTTGGGCCGGCACCGTCGCGTTGCTCAGCTTGTTATAAGCATGAGCTAGACGCCACTTTCCGCCCGGCTTCCGAACGCAGAAAGTTGGCGTCGAGTGCGGGGCCTTCGACTCCCGCACCATGCCTGCCTTCGCTTTCGCGGCGAAGAAGGCATCAATGACCTCGCACTGTTCGCGCGGGAGAGACCATTGCCTCGTGACACAATACTTTGTGCCAGGCACGAGATCAATCTCATGCCGTACGCCTCGATCCGGTGGGAGTTGGGTCGGTGGGTGTTTGTTCACCACGTCCGCATACTCCGTCACCAAAGGATACACCGGATCCTTGGGGTTCTTAAGGATATCAGAACCCAGGCGCGTCTGACGCTGCTTGTTTAGGTCTTCCAGGACTCTCGTCTAAGACAGAGGAGGAGTTCAGCTCCTCCCGAGTGGTCTCAGGTCTCATGTGCACCATCTCGACAACCTTCCCAGCCTTGAGGTTGGCCAGGAAAGACTCGACCGTCATTTCCTCGAGGTTCAGTATCTCTGCAGCCTCTGGCAGCGGTTCCAAGTGGACACCAGATGCCTTGACGGGTAAACCGGTCTCGCCTTCGAAGATGTGATAGCACTCGTCCACCGGCCTTGTCGGAGGATCCTGGGCCCTGGACTCCGAGTCACTTGAAGCGACGTCGATCTGAGCGAGGTTCGTATCCGACTTGAGGCGGCGGCGGCGTCGTTGACGGCGGCGACCGTGACGTGGAGCTTTGCTGCCCACGTCTGGGGATGTCGGCGCTGCGACATCCGAGGCACTCGTGGCCTCGTGGGGTACTATAGTTACCCACACAGGAAGCGTATCCGACGTCTTCCGCTTCAGTTAAGGTCTGGGCGACTGTGTGTGGAACTCTGTTACCGACTCTGAACACGCTGTTCTCGGTGTTTGTGACAGCTGCAGCTGTCTGCGGAACTAAGTTACCCGCTTATGGACCTAAGTTACCAACTTGGCCAGCGCCTCCTCTGGGCGCTGCCACCATCAAAACATCCTCGGAGTCGCCATATACGTTGACGCCTCCCAAGCATCTGCCGGATGCTTTCGTACCCTGGCAACCCTTGCGTTCGCCCCGGGTCCTGACAGAGGTGGGAGCATGACTCAACAATGCTCTGTCGGACTTCGCAGGGCGGCTGGCACCAATTGCCTTGCCTCGCCAGTCGATCCAGGGCTCGTGCTTCTTAAGCCAGAGCATGCCCAGGATCATATCGTATGGATCCATGTCGAGAACAGTGAGCTGTTCGAGGCTGTCAAAGTCTTCAAGCTTGACGGCCAGATCCACTTGGACGTTGGGGACAGTGACGACCTTCCCGTCGGCAAGTCGCACTGACACCGTCTATTTGCCCTTGCTTTCTCTCAAAGCATTGGGCAACTAGTTGCTATTACGAGCAACTGTCTGGTGGCGTGCGAAATTCTTCGACGCCCCAGAATCGATCAAGATTCTAAAGGGATGATCGTATACCCGTACACGACCGTGTACTACGAGCAACCCGCCGCTGCTCTTCGCCGATTCGAGAGTGCGAAGACTCTCAGGGGCTAAGTCCCCGTGGTACGCGCCACCCGCGCACCCATCACAAAGACTTAGTTCTTTCCCAGTAGGGCGCCCCGCCCCTACTGATTTCCGGCGTTCCCCTGTCCCCGGGATCCTGGCTTCTGCCAGCGACCCTTGAGGACGGGCTTGGGGAAAGACCGTCTGCGGAGTCTTTTCGCGGGACAGTCGCGCTTGAAGTGACCCATCTTCGCGCAGCCGAAGCAGCGGATGTCACGCTGTTCGGCGGACCCAGGTTCCATAGGAACTGGTCCGTTGGGGCTCGCTCGACCGGGAGTCGACAAGGAACTCCCAGGCCACGCTGAGGCCGACGTACGCGCCTGGCGATGGCTGTACTCTTCCTGAAGAGCCACTCGAATCGCCTCTTCAAGGGTGTTTGACTGCACCCGGAACAGCTGAGTGCGAGCGGGGCCCACTCGAAGGCCGTCCATGAACACAGTCATCTTGATGTGTTCGGGGAGTGGGTTTTCCACTAGGGACGCCATGAGCTCACGTATCTCTTGCACGTACTCGTGCAGTTCACACCTCCCTTGTTTGCACGAGAGGAAGCGCGAACGCTGGCGGTACTCGTAGTTCGCCGGGAGGAACGCGGCTCGGAGCTGTTCACACAGCTGAGCCCAGGATGTGAAACATCCAGGGGATGTTGGCTCCCGTGTGTACACCCAACACTTAGCACGGCCGCTAAGGTTGGAGAGTGCAAAAGCAACACGAAGTTGCTCGGTCGAGATCAGAGCCTCGTCCATCGCGAGCTCTACTTCTCGGACCCAGAACTAAAGGTTTTCGACTTCCTCTCCTTCATACGGCTTAACCTTCAGCCGTATTGGCTTCGGGTGAGGCGGATTCGCTTCCACCGCCGGAGCCTGCAGGTTCTTCCGCACATGCGCGATGATCCCCTGCTCGTACGCGTCAAACGCATTGACGCACTCGAGCTGCTCGGCCGGTGTTGACACCACCGGGCTCTGCGAGGCCTCCATCCCGAAGATGCCTGCCATCTTCCGAACCGACTCGAACTGAGAGTCTTTCAGATGGGAGAAGTCATTCCTGGTCATGGCAACGAGCTTCGGAGAGGTTCAGGTAGTCTACCCGCGATGGCGTGGAATGACTACGAGTGCTACCAAGTGTGACGGGGTCGCACAGCACCTTGCGCTAGAGGAAGTTAGCTTCCGAGAGTATACAAACTCTCAGTGAACGGCAGTTCACAGGTCCCCTCTTTATTCAAAAGAGAGCGAAGTGACCTAATTAAGGTAGAATGTAAACTGAGTATATTTATAGGTAGATAAAGCTTGGGCTTAATACAAACTATAAGTCACTTATAGAAATGCAATGTCATCAACCAATGGTTGGCCTTGGACGACCTTGGTACTTTGTACCAAATATGCCGAAGTATGACGTGTCATACTCCTGAAGTGTGACGAGTCACACCTCATGTAACCAGGGTACACTTAGGGCTACGTACCCCGTTACAATTCCCTACAGCAGCTGGACGGCGACGGAACGGACGAACGAATTGGTGGACGGACGAACGGTAGATCTAGTGACTGGCCTAGCTAACTAGTTACAGACTACATTGGACAGAAAAATAAACCGAAATACAAATAGGTCGTGTGTCAGTAAGATACACACCGGCGGGGTAGAGGAAGTTCCCTACCGACAGCCAACGGATTCTTGGACCTATCGGCACTGAACGACCAAAGCTCGGCGTGCAAGGCTAGATCAGACACGTTACAGTACACTCCAAAAGGCGTAGAACACAAGCTGGTCTTCAAATAAATCATCAAAATATATTTCCTGATTATCTGATAAAACTAAATAACATTTCCTTTCGTAATTTTTTTTAGGAAACCCCATATAGTATGACCACCCAGCGAGCAACGCTGAATCGAAGGCTTCTAGGAATTATTGGATACCTCACTTTATATGTTTGGACAAGCTACACAAGTTATTCTTGCGCTAAAACGGAAAAAAAATGGGTAAGGCTTGAGCAGATCATACTATCCTCTTGGTGAGGCCAGCTGACAGTAATTAACATGATGTTAGTTTGCACTGCATAATGCTTTAGTTCGTTGTACATGCCATTATGTAAAAATTGGTACTAGCTGGCATCTGGTACGAGAGAGTTGAGCTAGTAGAGTAGTCGGCAAATTGGTTTCGACGACTACGCTTTGGCAATTAATCTATTCTTAAATGTTTAATTATCTTATACTCCGTCGAGTAAGGCCGAGATTGCGGTAAACGTTTACTGCTACTTTGGGCCTTGCTGTGAGAGTACTCTTGCGGTTTACCCTAGTTCCATCTATATGGTGGCGGTAAAGTAGCCCTCTTTTTAATTTTTATAGTTAATCTATGTGTAACAATGCATGCAAACCTCATGTTATTACTTCGAGGCATACATCGCAACCGTGGCTTGGAGTGAGCTGGTGTGATTGCTCGCCCTGTTCGCCACCCACGCGAAAAAAAATTAGCTTCTCGCTTGTTTTTTTTTCTTTGGCGCAAAACGATGCTGTTGGGGACGAAGCGACGAGCATATTTTTGCTTATGTGTGAAGGAAGAGAACTACGGTTGACAGAATCAGATAAACTTGTGGTCTTTCCTCGACAGTTCCACCAATAATAAATTCACCGGTAATCCTAGCTAGCGTAAGAATAGAGGGCAGCTCCACGGCTTCGCTTCGAAATGTATTCGCTGGGTGCTTCATTCAGCAATTTCATCACTGATTCCAGTATGCGTAGCTTTAGTGCTCTGTACGATAATTGTCTACGTCGCCAGCCACTGCTGACCAAGATGGGCTGTTCTTTGGACTGGGTGATCGTCTAGCGCAACGAGTGGAAAAGTACCGGCAAGACTGGCGAGGAACTAGTCGAAATCGACACGGTCGAAGAAAACCGGTTAATGAGCGAAAGTACAGCGAAAACAGTCCGTATGATGATCTGGGATTGCGACTAAAAAATGACTACGTGTAGCCATTTGTTTCAATGCCCCTGTCCAAAGCGATCACGATTTTATATTGAATTGCGACTAAAAAATGACTACGTGTAGCCATTTGTTTCAATGCCCCTGTCCAAAGCGATCACGATTTCACTGCCAATCGGTTGGTGGCCACAGTGTCAAAGGTTGCAACAGTTCAGCCATGGCGACGTCGACATCTGAGCTGCGCAAGGCTCTATCCAAGTACGCGCTGCCCAGCGACCATGAGCTGCGTCATCTGCGCGCTGCAGACCCCACAACTTCCTACCGCGCGTCGTTCTTCCGCCTGCAGATCGACGAGTTACTGGCCGCAACAGGTCGCAAACCCAGCGCCAAGGCGTCATCGGGTCTACAAAACCTCTTGTTCCAAGTGAAGGAGATCCTGCACAACCTGCAAGAGCAACAGGTCACTCAGGACGCATTGCAGGCCCGAGGTCTACTAGTGCGCAACCACATCAAGCGCAAGGAGATCGTGCTGCCCTTCCAGCGTCCTGCACGTCTGGACATCGTAGGCAGTTATATCCTGCAGAATATGGCCTACGCTGGCCAGAAGAGCGGCGACTACAGCGTCCTAACCATCGACCTGGCAGTCGAGATGCCGCAGAGCTGCTTTCTACCCAAAGACTTCGGTAATTACCGGTATTTCGACAAGCGCAACTTGTATTTAGGCGTGTTGGCGTCCGAGTTACAGAGTCACACGGAGCTGTTCAGCGAAGTAAAGCTCCAGGCCTGGCACGGCGAGTATGAGAAGACTGTAGCCCTGTTGCACGTGAGCTCAGCGTTCCTACGCGAGCACGGTATCAAGGGCGGCAAGGTGCGCGTCCGCGTGCTTCCCGTGGCCACGACGGAGCTGTTTAAACTGGCGAAACTGGCTCCGTCGAGGAATAACGTCAAGCACGAGCCCAATATGACGGAAGCGGAGATGAAACAGTGTCGTACGCCCGTGTACAACAATTCGATTCTGGAGGATATGCTGCTACGGCAACACACGCGCGAGCTGCACGCTGCGCTGCAAGAGGCTCCTCAGCTGTGCGAGGCCTGTGTGCTGGCCAAAGTGTGGCTGAGGCAGAGAGGCTTCCACAAGGCCTCGGACTCTGTCAACGGCTTCCTCATGAGCATGTTGCTGCTGTATCTGCTCCAGAAGAAGAGGATCAGTGCGCAGACGCCGTCGGACCAGATGTTCAAGGTCTTGATGCAGTTCGTCGCAGTGCACAAACTGGAGAGCGAGGCGCTGCAGTTCCCTCCGAGCGAAGACGGCGTAGTGCTGACCACTGAGGGCTTGCAGACGTTCCGCAAGGCGTTCGAGCTCGTGTTCCTGGACTCTTCTGGCCGCTTGAATCTCTTCGCACGCGTGTCGACGAGTGCGTGGCGAGAGCTGCGAGAAGCAGCCAAGGAGTCGGTCCGACTGGTGCAGCACTGTACCATGGACGACTTCCGCTCGCTTTTCATCGCCAAGCACGCGTTCTGGACGCGGTACGACCAGTATTACTGGTTCCCTGCCCCCTGTCCCGTGGACGATGCCGATGAAGACACGTACACGTTAGAGGAGAAGCGAGAGATCAACGATATCGGGTTGGAGAGGTTCTGGCGGCGTAAACTCGAGTTGGTGCTGTCCAGAGCGCTGACAGACCGTGTGAGTCTCGTGCGACCGGTTACCGAAGACGACGTGGAGTGGGGGATGCAGGATTACTCGCTGCCGACGCAGCGAAAGGTGGCTGTCGGACTGCGTATCAACTCGGACAACGCGCTACGCATCGTCGACAAAGGGCCGTCAGCAGACGACACAGTGGCGAGCAAGCAGTTCCGCGAGTTTTGGCGTGGGAAATCGGAGCTTCGTCGCTTTAAGGACGGCGCTATCATCGAAGCTGTGGTGTGGGAAGGAATCGGCTCGGAGAACCGACACCGAGTGCTGGACGCCATCGTCAACTTCATCGTGCCAGCTCACTGTCCTCAACTCACGTTGTCGCAGATCAAGACGTCGAATGCGGCGCTGTACTCGGCTCTGGACGTCCAGGACGCTGCCACTTTAAAGACCAAGACAGCGAACGCGTCGTTCGAGTCGACGATGAACGCGGTGTCCAAGTTGTGGGTCGTTTTCAACGCGTTTGCCAAGACGCTGCGGGACTTGGACTCGTTGCCACTCAAGGTGTCAGATGTGCTGCCCGTGCACGCTGCGTTCCGCTACACGAGTCTCTTCCCCGTACAGCCACACCCTCTGGCGTACTCGAAAGGAGAGAAGATGGATGCCGCGCCGATGGCTCACGTCAACACCGTTCTCGAACCGCTAGTGCTACATGTCAAGTTCGAGCGCTCTTCGGCTTGGCCGAGCGACAAGAAGGCGCTGATGCACGCCAAGACGGGCTTCTACGTGCACATCGGCCACGAACTGCAGTCCAGACTGAAGTTGCGATGTGAAGTGGCGAAAGAGTGCGTGGATGTGTTCATGAAAGGCTACGTTTTCCGTCTGGTTATACGCAGCGAGAAGGAGCTGAGTGTGGTCACAGGTGCTGCGGGAGCTAAGAAGCTCGCGATTGTGCACTCTCCCGAGTACGTCAAGACGAAACGTGAGGCTGACTACGTATCCAAGCACGCGAGTACGGTGCATGCTCTGCATACGAAGAACACGGCGTACGGTCCCACAGCTCGACTGGCGCAGCGCTGGCTGGCAGACAAGGCGTTGAGCAACGTCTTGTCGATCGAAGCGGTGGAGCTGTTGGTAGCCGACGTGTTCCTGTCGTGTGCTTCTACGTCCGCTCCTCACTCGGTTCTGTCGAGTTTTCTCCGATTTTTGAAGCGAATGGCGAGTTTTGACTGGCCGAATGTGCCGTTTATTGTGGATCTGAACGCGTCATTGGACGACGACAAGCGTCGAGAGATCCTCAAGCGCTTCGAGGCGTCCAGTACGAGTCCATCCACCCACCCTGCCATGTTCATTGCTGCTGATTATGAGGATATGGACTGCTTGTCGAGCTGGACGCGGTTCACGCCGGACAAAGTGGTGGCGCAGCGCTTGGTTTCTTTAGCTCGCGCGTCGTACGACCTGTTGGTGCATTGGCTGGCGTCTGGCGCGTCGTCTTCTGGCTGGAAACCCGCCTTCTCGTCGTCCAAAATGGAGTTCGATGCGATGCTCCAGCTGGCTACGGAGAACCTCCCGACCAAGAGGATTCGCGTGGATGGAGACAAGAAGCATCCGTTCGTGGCGTCGGTGTACAAGAACATGGATCTGACGGCTGTTCCGGTGATGGTTGGGTTTGATCCGGTGCACGAGCTACTGCAGGATCTGCAGCGAGCTTTCGGCCACTTGGCTTTCTTCTTCGTGAACGGCGTTGAGACGACGGAGATCTTGATCACGTGGAAGCCACAAGCTTTCTTGCCAGCGAAGTTCCGTGCTATCACAGCGAGTTACCAGATGCCACTTCCCACTTCGGATGGAGACGAAGACTCGACACGCTGCTTTGCTGTGCCGAACGTGTTTGAGATCCTTTCGGACATGCAGAGCATCAGCCATGGGATGGTTGTCGGGGTCGCGTTGCAGCCATTCGAGACCTGTTAGAATTGATGCTGGCTTTAGGCGACAATATAGATACATTTTTTAATATCTTACCGATTTTGTACTAATGTTGTGTACAGTCGTGCACCTCCAATTCGGCAGGGCGGACCATATCAACAGTGCCAGGGCATAAGTGCACAACATAAAGCAAAAAACAAACGCAAATCCAGTGCACTGATATTTTATTTGTTAATTCAGTACCAAATATACGCCAATCTTCTGCATAATCTTGGCATCAGACGCGCGAATCGCGGGCGCGCAAGAGCGCTTCCGGTCGCGATAGGCGTCCGGCAAGGCGGCAACTTCCGCGGACCGCTTAAGAATACTCTGGACGGTAGTGCGCTTTACTGCTTGGGGCCCCCAAGTTGGGGGTCTTAAAGCGCTCCGTTGCCCAACGAGCAAGTTCGGAGTGAGAGCATGCAGGATCTGACTTGTGCTTCTCGCACAAAGACTGCTTTTGTGTGACATGTAGGAGGAAGGGCGATGTCCCATTGTATTTGGCGGTAAAAATCAAACTGTGTGTTTGTATGAAGACGTCCGATCCAAAATTTAAAATCAGATCGATGCGGCGTGTCATCCCTCGGCGAGGAGGGGAAAGCCGTTGGCTAGGGTGGTGATTGACAAAGGTAATTGCGCATCCGATTCGCGTAATCATGAAATATGGCAGGGTATCGACTGATACCGGTGCCGAATTGGAGGTGCACGACTGTATTACACGGGGAAGCTCTGAATTTCCAACGAAAGCAAAAAAAAAATCTCGAACGAAAGTAAAATTACTCCTGTAAATAAAACAGGTATAAGAATTACATGTATCGACGAAAATTTAAGAAGAAGGTTTGAGCCTGAACACAGCTACATCCTTAATGTTGCTCACATTAAACAAGTCGTTTTTTTAAGCAAACAATGTTCAAAAACGTACCAGATTGATCACTGCGAACACGACAATAGCTTACTTCGTGAGACGCTTCTCTTAACTTGCATATTCTTAAATGCATAGTACTGCTGTTAAGATGCATGGTTTTTACATAAATCTTACTCTAGATCGAATACAAACTCCAACACGAGCTCTTATGCGGGTAAGACTCATGTACCTTAGCATCATTATTTTCAGCGGGGCTATTGCAAACGATAACCATGAGAGCTTGGCATATATGCGTTGAAAAGTTAAGGCAATTGTACACGCACCGCGTTTTTTTAATCAGCAATCGGACTTAGCGATCGCATATTTATAGCCCTTTCTTAACTGATACGTAAAACTTCGAACTGAAGCTCGCAAGAGGTCGTAAATAAACAATGCTTCTACTGTTCTTTCTAGCGGAATTTGCCAGTGGCGGATTAGTGATTCCAGCTGTAAGGGGTTTATGAGTTACCGCTATTGGACTGCGAGGCGCACTATCTCCACCCGAAGCAAACAAAGATAGTGGCGATAGCAAAGACGGGCGCCAAGATGGCGCGGTTGCTGTTGCGAGTCGCCCTGGAACGGGACGCTTGCCCTGATCTATAATAGGGAGCTCTAGACGTGCGGGGCAAAAAACAGTAATCCAAGTTGACAAAAATAGCAATTTAAGTACTAAAAACCAAATGTATTAAGTCAACTCGGGGTTTCCAGATAAAATTCACGACTGACCAAGCTCACCTCGCTCGCAATGTCACCCTTACCGTATTTCTCTCAGTCGGACCGCACGTCCACGCGTCCTTGGGTACACTGCTGTGGATGACCCTCCCTTCGCTTCACTGGGCTTTGTATACGTTGCGGTAATGCTAGCCGTATCATGTGTCGTCCGTCCCAAGTGCCTTGCACATCGCTGTGACGACAGGTACTTAAATGCACCTTCGATGGTGTAATCAGAGGGCGGTGTTGTTCCCTCTTCACACTTCACGTCGAAGCGACGGGGTAAGGCACCAATTCGGGCGAGGAATTCCGACAATGTCAGAGCTAATTCGAGCGACCCAACGGCCGATCATCCTCTTGTCGTACGACTTCAAGTGGCTGGACGCAGGTCGCTCCAGAGGAGGGACAGGAATCGTGCCCAAGACGGTTGCCACCGTTCTCACTCGAGGCATTGCTAAATGTAAATGAGTGGGCCCTTAAGGAAAATGCATTGGTCAAGAAAAGGGTTCTTAATGATGACGTTGGACGTAGCGCTTTCGTAGAAGCAATACCCACCATGCTGCAAGATGTAGAAGATTCATGTTGCTTCCAAAACTACTGTGATTGGAGCTTTTAACTGTAGCAAGGAGAACCGAATGAGCTTTTTTCTGCCACAGCTGGTTTATTGGAGTTCACCCATTGGGTTATTTAAGCTTCAAAAAGAGATATTTGTTTCACCCAGTTTTCTCCAAGCAACATTCACTGGGTGAATGGGTTTTGATGTTACCCGTGGCCACCACAGGCAACATTCCTCTGTGTTTTATTGATGGCCACCGGATAATACTACTGTAGAAATATCGGTCTTTTGTGCAACCTGGCTTGCAACCCTATTTGGATTGGTTAATACTAGTGCTGATGACTGTGTTGAAGTGCACAAAGCGGTAGCTACACACGCAGAGTAGGATGGTCGCCATTCTTACGATCCGCACGGAGGGCCACCAAGATACTTGACACTGAGAGCTGCCTACCATAGACTGAATATACCTTGTCTATCGCTGCGTCACTGGTAAACCCTGAGCGCACCGAGCTAGCGACTACGTCCCAGAACACTTTTCGCCTAGAGAAGGCGAATTTGCTCGCACCACGCTCGATTGCCGCAAAGTCTTTCGCTGCTTTCGGGTCACCGCATCCGACCTGGTATTCGTGCCAAAGTTCGAATATTTCGGCCGCTTTGAATGTACAGCCGTAGACGCTCGGCGAGTCGGAGGCGGATTAGGTGGAGATGTAGTTATATCCTGCGCAATAACGTCGCGCCGAAAAGATGGCTACATGGCAATTTGCTTTAGTATGGCCTGAATCTTCGGTAGCTCTCGTTGGCTCTTTCGCCGTGAGCGCATGACTTCGTCCAGCACTTCGGCTGTTTGGCGTCGCCCTGCTCCAATCTGCGAGTTAAGGGCTGCTAACTCACGGCGACTACCATCTCCGAGTACAGCGCTACCACGGCATGAACCTCGTGAGCTCTCGCTTGTACTGGCTTGTCATAGTGCTGGGGCTTGTGGCGTTCTTTTCTTTTTTTGCAAACTTCTGGCTTGATCTCACTTGGATTTTGATATCTGGCTCTACACTAAGTACGTTTGCAGCTTGACTTGCTTTTTGTATCAGATTGGGTTGCAAAACTGACCTGAACCTCCCACCGTGTGAACAACTCAAGTTGCAATCACCACCCCACCGTTTCGCGCTGTACAAGGCACAATTGTGGTCTATACGCTACGTGCAGCCAATCAGAGATCAGAATTTTCAGAAATACAGCCTTGGTTGCAGATGGCCGATAATGTATTGGTTATAAGAAGCTTAACGATCTATTTTTGGTACGAAGTGGTGCATTCAGTTACATATGGGTACGCACAAATTCGTTCAAAAAACAGAATACCACCACATTTTTTTGTGATATAAGAAATGGAATAGGAGATAACAGGTTCATCCAAATTGAAGGAGACTGAAGAAATTATGTTCTTCAGGTGCAAAGTTTTGTTTACCAATGAAATCACGTAAAAGTTAGAGATTTTTTCTTTAGGTCGAGTGCCGTCCCTGGAGAAACTCTGGAGAGAACATCTGAGCTAGTGGCTTCATTGACCATTCCACTGATGATACATGTACACTGTACCGGTACTGTAGCCATGCGGTATGGCTCAACTCGAGCCAATTCAGATTGTAAACATTTTTGATGCTCAAAGCTTGCTCGGTTCGTAATCTTGCTAGAAGGATATCTGACTCAGACTCTGAGATCTACAGGCTGATGCAGAAGCTCATTCTCGATTTCTCTCGTTTGTACTCCAAGGCGACATCGCTGACATAGCTGTAGATTGTCCCTTTAGCAACAATGGTCTACTCGCCCAGCACCTACCTGGTCTCCGCAGCAGTGGCTGCGGTGGCTCTGCAGATGCAGCGAACGTCTGCTGCATCGCTGTTTTACGAACCGTTTACTGTTTCTGACACGGTGAACAAAATCAGCCGTGGCTTCCCCGGTTTCGGTGCCGAAGTCGCCGACCAAAACTGCGCGATCGAAGTCGAGACAGACCCCACACTTCCCAAAGTCTCAACTATTTCGACGGTGCCGGTGACATTCACGGACTTGTTGGCTAACGCGTCGGGAGTACCAGCAGAGCCGATATTCATGAGAGTAGGCAAGCAGATCACGTCGGAGGAGACCCCGGCCACCGATGCCAACCAGGATGCGTACATCGGTTTGGCCACTTCTTGGATAGGCAGCGGTACGTCGAGCAAGAATGGTACTGGTGTCGTCGAGACCAACCGAGGTACGGGATGGAATGGAAAAGGTACCACCCGTGAGCTGCTCGAAAGCGCCGTTGCCGGTCGGGAGAAGGACCAACCTCGACCCACTAGGCGCCCCAGCCCGCAACCGACTCCCAGTCCTTTGCGAAATCTGCTCGAAAGCGCCGTTGCCGGTCGTGAAAAGGACCAACCTCGACCTACTGGGCGCCCCAACCCGCAACCGACTCCCAGTCCTTTGCGAAATCTGCTCGAAAGCGCCGTTGCCGGTCGTGATAAGGACCAACCGCGTCCAACCCAACATCCAACGGGTCGCCGTCTTGAAGAAAACACCAACAAGGACATCGCCAAACTCGAAGCCTTCTATGGTACGAAAATGGAAATGTTCCTTGCAGAACTTCCAACGGAGGGAGTTCAGACACCGTCTCCGTGGGCTGGACCTTAGTGGCCCACCTTCCAGGACAGTATCAATGTCGTGTGGAGTGAAGGACAGCCCAGTCCGGCCGAAAAGTATGCCACTGCTTTTGGTCTTGATGCTACGGATTTCATGAACAAGGTGTCCAAGGTCAACGGTGTCGACTCGCAGAGTCAACGTAGATCCTGCCAGTCGGACCAGAGCTGTGAGACCGGCAGCAAGTGCGCCATTCGTGCCGGCAAAACGTCAGGATACTGCATCCCTACCTGGTTCGGTATTTGCCACGCCTGGGCACCGCCGCTATTCTTGAGGTAGAGCCAAAGTGTCCCGTGATGCACAACGGCGTCACGTTCCAGCCCATGGACATCAAAGCTCTCGTATCAAACGTGTACGATGGTGCCGGTGTCGAAACTGTCTTCACGGGTGCGCGCTATAACGGTGGCGATGACGCTACGGATGCGTATGGTCGACACACGAACGCCGCTTACCGCGACATGAATCCTGCGTACTTCCACATTGCGGCTGCCAACATCCTGGGTAAGCTAAACGCCACTTTTGTGATCGATGTTGACGCCGGTGCGGAGGTGTGGAACCAGCCTGTGCGTGGTTTCAAGGTGTTCGAGCAGACGGCCATGTCGCTCGAGGAAGCCGCTCAAACCTTTTATGGTCTCGCGGCATACCCGTTCAATAGTGCTGCCAAAAGTATTGTGTACGTCAAGTCGCGACTGTCGTGGATCTACGAGACGTACACGGATGGCGGGCTCGTGTCCTCGGGCCAGATCAACCAGTTCAGGTACTATTACTATCTGCTCGAGCTGGACGACGCAGGTCAGATCATCGGAGGCGAATGGGTCTACACGTCGGACAGCGACCTCCCGGACTTTTTGTGAAAGCGAAGCCTGCTGATGACGCTGTAACCAGTATCGGTCTGGCATACGCCGACGTGAGCATGCTTCTGGAGAAGTCGGCCTCTTGTTAGATTCAGGCTTAATCCCTTGGTTTCCATCGACAAGTTCGCTGTTAATTAGGTTAACAAAAAGATGAAACCTGTCATTCGTTCCTTGTTGTGATCTTTCGTCTCTAAAATTGGTGCATCCCTCGAACGGTTTGCAAGCTTAGACTGTTGATAGACGACAGATCACCATGGACCGGCTGCGAGCTGCTTTCGATGAAGTGGTGGAGATCGTCAAGTCTGCACTGGACGGCGAGCCCAAGACGCCTGCCGAGATCCTGCTAGACGAGCACCTCCCCGTTGAAGAAAACGTTCTGGCATCTTTGGTGACAAAAAGTCATCAAACGACAGGTATCCCCATGTCCGTCATGAACGAACTGGCGTCGCGCACACACAACGTCGTAGACTGTCCGTGCATTCAGGCGCGGATCTGGGAGATCCTCATCGACCACCAACAGAACCCAGCTTTGCTGAAGAAGGCGCTGAATCTACTGCAATATTTGCTGGTTAACGGCTCCCAAGAAGTTCTGAAGGACACGCGATCGCCTGCCCGTGCCTCGTTCCTGTTAGAGCTAGCGACGGAATACAACAAGTACGAGTTCGAACAGTACGAGTTCAGTCAAAACCTAGACGTTGGTGCAGGCGTGCGCAAGACAGCGGCGGAGATCAACACGTTGCTGAAAGACGACGATGCTCTGCTTGAAGCGCGTCAAAGAGCGGGGAAGCTGCATCAAAACCTCTCGTCACGAGGACTACGCAGTGCATACCCGACACCAAGAGCGAGCGACAATGAATCGCGGTCACCAGTATACACCGACATGCATTCGTACGGCTCAAGACTGGATGACATAGCGTCTCGAATCGTGACGCACCCACCGTCCGATTCAGACGACGAAAGGAGCTAACTCTTAATACGTTGCAATTTACTTATGTGTTTAGAGCTCGAAGATACGCCATGTCGTATTGGCTACGGTCGAACTCGCACTTGTCTGTTTCTTTTGAGATTGTAGCTAGCATTTGCTTGTTGACTTGACTGTCAATAGCGACAGGTACGAGAGCTCTTGCTGTTTCGAAGCAGCCGAGTGCGTGCTCGTAGTTGTGCAGTGCGTGGTACAGCTGCCCCTTTCGAAAATGAGTCGCCACCTGGTTGCTATCACACTGAAGTGCTTGCTCGCAGTGTTTTAAACCTTTCGAATAGTTCCGCTGCATCTCGAGGCAACCGCTCGCAATGTTCAAATGACACGACATCTCGAGCTACCCGAAGCGTTTAAAACATCAGGGATACGCATTGTCAGACGACATGAAGCATTGACACGCACCACTCGAAGAACGCAAGACACTTGATCTTCCGTGGTCGAGCTGAACTCCGGTCGAGCGCGCAGCACTTCCACACAGCTGAGAACAACTTCATACTTCGTCGTGGAGTAGTCGAAGAAGTTCTCGACCGCGAGCACGTTGGCCTCTTGAAACGTCCGTTGGACTCGTTCGAGCACTTGTTTAGACGTCCGATCCTCAGTCATTTCGGATACTAAACCCTTGATCGTGTGGCTGTCTGTCTCCGTCGTCAACAACGTCAACCCAGTTACAACTTAAGCACGTAGTAAGAAGGTGGCTCACCATTCGCAGCGTCGCCTTCGTTCAGCAGCTTAGCTTTCACTCGATCCAGATTAATCGTTCCGCTTTCGTGTTCAGAATCCTATACAGCGAAGAGTTAGCACAACATTAAATAAAATGCGAATTATTCTATGAACCAAAGTGGCGATCCGGTTGTAGTGAAGCATCGCCAGTAATGGCGCGTTCATGCGTTCAAACGCTTCGCCCCTCTTCCACCACGCCGTGATATGAATATCATCTCGTATCAGAACTTCCTTGAGCGCCTCAGTGGCCGCAGCTAGTCTCCCCTCCTCCAGATCACAAGAGCCAATCCCCAAGTAGACGTCCTTGTAAAACATCTTAATAATTGCCTCCAGGTCGTTCTCTTTGGGCAGAGACTCGTCCGGCCTCGTCTTTTTCTTCTTCTCGTGACTGCAATTGGTACCACAAGAGTGGCTCTCCTTGTCCTCGTGCTTGCAGTCATGACTCTTGTCGCTTTGATTCGACTTAAGAGGTTCCTTCCCGAGTAATTGAAGCTGCTCTTGCTCCACTATGAGAAGATGCGGTACCAGCTCCTCCAGTTTCTTAATAGCCGCCAGAGCTTTCTCAAACAGCGGCTTAGCCTGCTTCTTGTCAGCTCTCTCTCCAAGTCGTCGGTTCTCCAGAATCTGTTGCAGTAGCTCGTGCTTCTGATTGAAGAGCGCAGCTTGAGTCTGCAGCTTATCCGCCTTATCAGCCTCTCTGTTGCTGCTGTGATCTTCTTTGTGGCTTTTGCGCACTCGTTTCTTGGCCTTAAGAGCGGCAACTGCAGCTTGAGCCGACAGGATTTCCGCAGACTGCTGTGCCGCCTGCGTGGCCGAAGTTTCGACGCTCTCCTTGGCCTGATGCTGCTTCTGCTGCTTCTTGAGTTGCTCCTCACGCTGCTCTAACTGGTCCACGCGCTCAAGCTCCTTTTCCACGTCGAACTTGGCCCACGACGCATATGACGCGCTGCTCATAGCCTAAAACGACGTCAGATGGTAACAAGTATCTCAGTACATTCATCAATACAAGTAGTAGTACTAGTACTGTACTACGTAGTAATATTTTCAAAACACACAAGCAGTATTACATGTTCTTCAGTAGTAGTACTAAGCCGCAAGACAGCTCTAACTAGGAAAACTTGATTCATACAAAAAGCAAGCTAGCTTATGCCTCACACATGTAGTAGTCATAACCTCCTCATAAGATCGAAGGGGGACTCACTTACTACTCTTTTCTTACTGTTCCTGTTTGGGCAGTCTACTGGGAAGAGCTGTCTACGATCTTGCTGGCAACGGCCTTGGACACGTCCTTGCCGATGTCGCGGGCCACACCACTGATGTCCGAGATGACAGCGCCGCTGCTACTGACCGCCTCCTTCATAGCACGGTCGATACGCGACTCCTGCGACTTTAGAAAGGGTGCCAGGAAGTGCATGTAGAGGAAAGACGCGCCCATCGTCGAAGGCATGAACAGCCACAGCAGGAAGCCCAGCTTGAAGGCGTAGTAGAAGGGAATCCAGTAGAGTAGGAAGTCGGCAAAGATCTCGACGAGGTTAAAGCAGGCGTACACGACCCAGTACGTGAGCCACTGCACGTCATCCTTCTTGTCGTCAGTCTCGATGGCCTTGAACGAGCAGTAGGCAGGGTACACGAAGCCCACCATGTTGCAGATGAGTCCCGCGCCGAAGCCGACGAGCAGCAGCAGCAGAAGCAGCGCCGCGCCACCAGCCACCAGGTACAGCTTCTCCACACCCGTAGCGTCCTGTGCCTGCTGCAGTACCGGGAATTTCTCCAAGTCCTTGGCCCACTTGTCCATGTACACTTGCACCTTCTCCATTGCCTTCTTCTTCCTAAGTCTGTATGCACGAGCCTTTTTTGGGAGTGCCTACTGGCTGGACCAGGATCGGTTGTCTCGGTTTGGACCCCAAACCGTTGAGAATCTGGGTGATCTTGCAAAGCACCCTTTGTGACAAAAACCCATAAAATGCGTTTAAATATCGGTATTTTTGAAATTAAGAGCAAATTTAAACCATGTTTGATTCTCTCATTTACTTAGCCCATTTATGAAAGTGGGCGATAGCACTGATATCTGCAGAAAAATGACGTGACGCAAATCTGCCGATTTATTTTTTCCCAGCTGCGAAGCTAAAATCCCTTACTAAATCACAAAATTGACGCGGGGAAGCTCTTATGGTATAATTGTTTAAGGATTAAACCCATATTTCTTTTCACAGTGTATTTACTTGACAGATACGAGTAAGGTGCCAGCGGTAATATTAATACATGTACGTGTTCACGTTCCTACACAGGGCAAGAGGTACCGAGGATTGTATATTAAGCTTGAGCTGCGCTCCAATTTCGAGGGCTGGTAGATCAGGGTTGCTTGAATGTGTGCAATGCAGTACATGTAGCATTGTAGCATTATGCACACTTGCATCGCATCTCAGAGGCTTGGGCGTCATCCCTTTGACGCACCGGCGTCAGTTTTTCGCTCGAGTGTTACCCGTCACAATAGTGAGTAAACCTAGTGACAGGGCTGGATTTTCTTTTCACAATTTGATTTTTTTAAGAGAGTCGTTATTTAAAAAATTAATTGTCAAGGAAATTTTGAGTCCCTCGTACGGTTAAATTTGTATACCCGTATACGGAGCTTTTGTGCCGCTCATTTAGGGGCACTCCATTTCGAGAAGAACAGCGCCAGCAATGGATCGGCGCCAGCCTGCACGCGCGTCGAAGAAGCGGCCCTCAGAGGAAGCCTACAGCGGGGGCAGTGAGAATGACGGCTCGGACGCGAGCTGGGTGGACGACTCCGCCGTATCCAGTAGTTCCAGTGCGGCGACGTGGAGTGTCGAGGATTCAAGCGTGACTGATACGCCTGGCGAGAGAACAAGTGGAGGTAGTAGCGGAAGAGGATCTCCAGAAGTCTGTGCAGACTTAGTTGAAACGCAGTTTCAGTCCTGGGAAGCCTTTCACTCGTATCTGGACGAGTATCAGAAGCAGACTTACCAGGTAAGGGCATTGATGGCACTATGTATTACATTATGAGAGTATTCAACGGGTTTGACCAATTTACTGTAGGTTTTTAGAGTGCGATCAACTAAAAGCGTGGCAGAACGGAACAGGCTAATCCAGAAGGCCCAGAAGCCGTCTTCAACGCTCATCCCAGAGGCATGGTGTACGTACGCAAAGACGCTCATTTGCACGCATGGCGGCAAGTACAGATACCGTGGTAAAGGGAAGAGGCCACGTCAGGAAGTACGCCCGATCGAGTGCAAGGCCCAGGTGCGAGACGTTGACTGTCGGTCACTGCCGGTCACAGTCGGTTGTAGTCTGGCACTGTCGGTCACAGTCGGTTACTGATCGGTACTTTATGTAACAATACTATTCAACAGCTAACGTTGCTCATGTGTGTATACAGATAAACGCTTGCGTTCAAGTGGTGAACACATCCCCTCTTCATTTTGCAGTTTGCGTCACTAAGACTGCATTATCTCACAACCACGGATTGGGGTTGCGTACGTACCGCCATTATCCCGCTAATCGACCGGCTATAGAAGAAGATGTTTTGGCGACGGTCGACTCCCTCAGAAAGTCAGGCACAAAGACGCAAAACATTCTGAAATTTATCGTGGAGAACACCAGCAGCGATCCAACTCCTCAAGATGTACGAAACCTAATCCGGAAGCTAAAGAAACAAGACCAGGGCGTGTCATCTCGTTCTCAACGCATCAAGAAATGGATGGTGGACTTTTGTGCTGTTCAAGGGAACGTAGGGCATATTTTTGTGGACCCATCAGGCGGAAAGGTTCGTTTTGCGTCTCAAGTATTGTGAATCGGTCAGTTTGATTCTAAATGTGTGTGTTTGGTTTTGTAGAAAATCGCTACGTGTATTACACTACAAACGAAGCACATGATTGACATTTTTAGCAGATTCCCTGAAGTTTTAATGATCGACGCAACGCATGGTACCAACGCCTCAAAGTACAAGATTTTTTCGTTCATGGCTCATGATATTTTCGGGAAAGGTCAGTACGTACAGCACGCTATCCTACAAAATGAACGAAGTGAAACGCTGTTTTCGGCGTGTGAAGAATTTAAGAAGCAGAATCCTTCCTGGACTAAGCTGCAGTGTGTGATCGTGGACAAAGACTTTACCGAAATTGGAGTTTTGCAGACTGCTTTTCCAGACGTTCGTATACTTCTCTGTCAGTTTCACGTTGTGAAATATTTGCGGGAGGAGATTGCATGCGCTGACTATGGCTTCTCGCCGTGGCAAAAAAAGCAGCTTCGGGCAGTTGTCAATCTGTTGGTGTACGCAAAAACGGAACGGGAGTATGAAAAGCACCGACGCTACATGACACGTTTGACCTGTATTGGTACCAGCCTTGGCACCGCCACGGCTAGATCTGGTGCAATCGTGGAATCGGGTGCGGAATCTGTTGCAGTCGGTGGAAGTGTGGAGTCGGTTGCAGCATTAAGTACTGCTGTGGACACAGAGCAGGCTGCCTTAAATCACCCGTTTGAGACTTACTTTGCGAAGGATTGGGACGGGTGCAGGGACATGTGGTGTTCTTTCACGAGACAAAGTGCGGTGACGTTGGGCAACAACCCCAATAACAGACTTGAGGCGTCCTGGAAGCACATGAAGGAGATTGTAAATTCTTCAATGGTCTTAGATGAGTGTTTGGCTTCAAATATTTTCTGGGAGTGTTCGTGTTTATTTGCAAGTACGCGGCTATTGCCATGCAGGCATGTTTTCTACGTGCGTCAGCAACTGAAATAGGAGACAATTATTCCGACTCAGTGTTTCCATCCTCGTTGGTTGTTGTCTTCGATGAATGACACGCGTCCTCCGTTGGAGACCGAAAGGAACAGCTGTTCTGTGACTCGGATTGCATCGCTTCCAAAGCTTCCGTGGGACTCTAAACGCAAATTTCGCCAAGCTAATAGCTTTGCTACCGCCATAACGGAAGCTGTAAGCACGCTGGGAATGGCGGAATATCGGGTGGCAATTCAGGCGTTAGCGCAAGTATCAACGATGTTTACTGAAAAAAAGTTTGAGCTGATCAAGGAGCTGTCGTCTATGGGTCCAGTTCCTCAGTCAGTGGGTCAGTCGGTAGCGTCGGTGGAGTCGGTGTCTCGGTCGGTGGAGTCTGTAGAGTCGGTGGCTCAGTCGGTGGAGGCGGCTGACCACTCGGTGGAGGCGGCTGACCACTCGGTGGAGGCGGTTGACCACTCGGTGGAGGCGGTGGAGTCGGTGCCTCAATCGGTGGAGTCGGTGCCTCAATCGGTGGCGGTTGATCACTCGGTGCAGTCGGTGTCCCAGTCGGAGGAGTCAGTGCCTCAATCGGTGGATCACTTGGTGGATCATTCGGTGATGCAATTGACTCAAGTTCTTGAATCCGAGCCAATTAATGCGGAATCACCTGGATTCGAGATAGCAAGTCCCTTACGCTTGCGAGGCCGCCCGAAGCAGAAGGCAAAGACTAAGAAAGCGAAGAGGAATGTATCTATCCTAATGGCACAAGATGATTCGATACTTCACGACCAAGAAATGAGCCTCAAAACAGTCCAGGTTCTCCTTTCAAATGAACCTACCTACGCATCATGTGCTGAGCCGCTACACCGATTCCAGCTATTTGTTTTTGATAAGAAGATGAAGCCCCCAATGCCCTACGTTATTTCGAAGATGCCGGCTAACAAAGTTATCATGGATCCAATCGACATTTCTCGTATTTTGGCCAAAGAGATACTCCAGCGAGCGAGCAAAAAGGTAGTTACCCTACAAAAGAAGCACAAGGAATTGCCAGAGCTAGACTTTGCAGTTGATTTTCCTGGTCTATTTGTAATCGGGATGCAGACACTGAGAACCATGAAGCTATGGCACCAAGCAGTCAAAGAGCTAAACAATATCGAGAGAGCCGTAAAATGGATCTCAGAAATTGATTTCTCGCTGGATATTTCGCCTGTATTTCGGGCCGAACCAGATGCAGAATTGGCGTCAAAACTAGAAGCAATTCCGATTTTCTCTGAAAGGGTAAGCACTTTGCATATTTTAAGGGTAGCAGCAACTGGCACTTTGTATACGTATTTTGTAGATTCGGATCGTTGACTTTGCATGCAGATCACTACTTAGTGACACTGCGTTGGCAGAGGCAATGGCAGGAAGTCATGACTGTTGACCCAGCAATATGGGGTATCGTGGAGAGAGGAAATGTGAGCATTCCAGACGAAGAGTTAAAGCACTTGTTCAGTTGTATTACTGGGCGAATTATACTGCTTCCAGTGAACTGTAACGGCACGCACTGGTGCGGTATCATGATCAACACAGCTGAGACAACTATCAAGTACTATGATTCCATGAGCAGCAGCTACACTGGTACCCTTAGAGTAGTAGCGCACAAACCTGTGCAACACATGCCGGCTACACCAGGACGTTACAGAGTGGTTCCCTATGTTGCGGATGCTGGAGTCCAACTAGACAGCTACAACTGTGGGGTGTACGTTCTGCTCGCATTCGAAACGTTCTGTAGCGGAGAAAGCACAGGTGAATTGAGTACGAAGGCACTGCAGTACCAGCGTTATCGCTACTTGCAGATGTGCATGTGAAGCAATACACTTTGTTTAACTTGAATTATATAGTTGCTGTTAAAACACATTGTGTCGGAAACATCACAGAAAGGTTGGATTCGTCCTTGAGGTTAACATCGGCCTTGAGGATGACTTCGCTCTAAAAACACTAAGTGCTCGTATCCGGATTATACAGCAATACAAGAAGGGTGAATTTCTTCGTCGGGCACAATCGGTCACGTCGGTGGTCAGTCGGTCACGAATGGCTCGTCTTCGTACCTTTCAGTCGGTCACAATAACGCCTGCCTTTCTTTAATTCATTTAATGTCAATTCCTCAGCTAAGAAAACTTAACTTATCAATTACAAAAAAAAAGTTGAAAGTACCGTTCGTTGCCCGGGAAGCTCTGGACATTACCGAAAGTATCGCGCTTCTTCATTGCTGAAGTCATCCTCCACCGTGGAGGCTTCACATCTCACTTTTAAGTCGGATAGAAACTTGGCACTTTGTGCGTATTTTCGCCACTTGTGAAACTTGGCTAACAGTTTCCACAAGGTGTCGCTCTTGTCCGACTGGGGGACAATCTTAATTATTGAATCATTATTTTAATAAAATACATATTGCGAGAGTTGGATTAAACTGTTTGTTTAACGCTATTGTACTAGCCCAAGTAAGTTTTCGCTGTCCAACTTAAACGTGATCAAGTACAAGTATTAATAGACGACCGCTAAAATAAATGAAACCGGATAAAGGCACCAAGCAGGGCTAGGGTGTTAAAGGTGGGGTGAATTTGCTTTTTCAGTATTTACGCGACGTGACATCCCATCCCTCATTTAAATTTATACGGGAAAAAAGTTCGTCATTTCGTGCCTTTAAGTTGTTTGGTACCCCAACAATGTTGGCAACATGTAGTTTAACGCGTCTTGTTTGGTGCCTCTACCCTTGACTAAAATCAATACATGTACTAACAGTAAAGTGCTTACCGTAGTATTTGCAGCGAGAGTACGCAAATGTAAAATACATTCTTCAATTATTAGACCAGACCCTAACTGACGTTTAGCTTTACTTGCAGCTCCAAGTGACCTCCTTCAGATGCGTGAGGCACCCACAGAAGAAGTGAACCACCTCCTGTGCCCGGAAGACCAAGAAAGCCTGGACGCCAGCGGTCCATGTACAGTGTCCTACCAGCTAGTGTTGTAACATTGGATATCCATTGGGCACTGCCCCCAGCTTTGAGGTCTACTTCATCGATCTTGTCACCACCAGACATGATATTCACCGTCACGTCTTCCGTGTCCATGCTGTTAAAGTTGACAAGAACTGCTCCATCTCCTTTGCGTTTCCAGGACATTGTACTATTCTTGAAAGCCCGTTGAATCATCGTCAGGCCGAGTGTCTTGGGATCCGTTCCGTCGTCGATTTCGCCCATAAAATTGGTAGGCCCACAGATTGTCTGGAGATACGTTGCGATAAGACCCATAACTCCAATCATATCGAAACCGGTGACGGCGATAGAGATGAGTGTCTTTCCGAATGCTTGGTACATGAAGAAATTCCCATCCTCATCCGAGCCGTTTTTGCTCTTTCCTTTAGAAACGAGATCTTCGACCATGCCACTGAAAGCCGTGCGAATCTTTTCACGAGTTTTGTAAGCTGTAGCTTCGTCAGACTCCTCAATCAGCTGCTCCATGCAGTTGTTGGTGACGATAGCAATGTCAGACCTCACAAGCTGGGTGTTCTGCATCTTCAGTCGCAGATTATCTTCCGAAATGCCGGGGTTGTCGATTTTCAGTTGGTTTACAGTCCGCCATGTACGATCGGTCAGCGACCGCAAATCGTATCCACACGTTGACTTCGACTTCATCGCGTCACTTAACGTGCCAATCTCGGTCTCGTTGATCGAGTTCGCAGCTTCTGTGAAATTAGCCCCAATAAGGAAAGCCTTGAACCGAGACCAACTCGAGAAAAGGTCTTCCTTGTAGCCGATAGCATTCAATAGAATCCAGTTGATTGTTGACAGCATACGGCCGGAGACATCAAGCGTCTGGGGTGGGTAGTGGCCCGTGCAGAGGTACATAGCCATTGGTAAATCTGTGACCACATTGTGCGATTGGTACAGCATGTTCATGATCTTGTCCGTCGAGGCTGTCGGATCCGTGGTCTTGATGTTACGGATATAACGGAAAATGGATCTCATCGTGCCGATCATGATGTTGACGCAGTCAAAAGCGAATCGTACGCCCTCTGCCACATGCCACAGCTTCTGAAAGGCACCGAAAATAGCAATAGCCAGCACCGAGTTTCCAATGGCACCGACCTTGTTAAGCGTGTCCATCATGCAGTCGTCGTTCTGGCGGACACATTGCATGCCGCATTCTACTGGGTAGGCGAGCGGGCACTCGGCCCAGCACGTGTTGGTGGCTTCGTTGCGGTCAAAGTTACTTGGGCAAGTGTCCATAAAGTGAGCTTCACGGTAGCACGCGCCGTCCGGAGACACGGGGCGAGGCCCGACCCAGTTTCGATACTCCGACGTCACAGTGCTCGTTGCCTCTGTCACTTTAGGAATAGTCAAGTCCAGCGTGTCTATGTATTCATCAATGGCGCTGGACGATGTAGCTGATGCCAGCGTTACCTCATCCAGAGACGAGTTGATATTAGATGATGAAGATCCCGACGTTCGTATTCTTGATACAGTGGCAGGTAAGTCCGAAGACGCAGATGAGCTTGTTGATGTAATTTTAGCTGGGATTAGTGTAGCGCTGTCATTGTCATCGTTCCAGAAGGTCCAATCGATCGCAAAACTATTTACGAGGCTTAAGGCAACCACCAAAATGACGAAAATTCTTCTGCATTGTGTCATGACGCCTCCCCAGAGGGAAATGTTTTAATATTGACCCGCGAGTCTGGTCTCGGAAGCTCCGATTGTTGAGTTGTCCGGTGTTGGCTGCGATGGGGACAGCGAATGTGACTCAATTTGAGCCATTTGTAGCCACCTGTCCAAGCGGACTTCGCGTACTTCAAGTTGATGGATTGTGAATACGGTTTGTTACAAATTAATGAATCAAGTGGCTGTGCATAGTTAAGTTAGGATTAGGATCTAATGCGGGATCGGGCATGTTGCAGAAGGCTTACGCCGGGTTACATTTATCTTGCGCTAAACACACACGGGTCCACGCAAATTTACAAGTACTGTGTTTACTTAAGTCTGTTTAAAGCTCTGGCAAACTTTAAAAATTTAATCTAATACATCTGACCAATATATTACAGCTCCGCTACCAAGTCTTCAAAGCACTGATCAGGCCAACCTTCCACCTACTAAATGCTTTAAAAAATTGTGGAAATACCAAAATTCAAGCTGGATTCTTGAAAAAAACTAACATTAGCACCGTTTCAGTCAATTCAGATTGTTAACCATCTTTATAGCTAAACGTGGAGCAGTTTCTCTTAAGCTTGAGGCTAAGGTGAGATATTTCGAAGTGCATTGTATTAGTAGTAGCTGTTTCCGTACTCTTGTACTAAGAACAAGTATTATACCTAATTGCAGTAAAGTACTTTACATTCAAAACTTTTCTTGAGAATAAGAAAAATATGTAGCACTAAAATGAAGGTCAAGTACCAAATATACTACATAATGTAGGTAGTCCATTAGGGATTTAAAAAACTTTGGATTGACAAAAGTATGCGAAAAAAAGAACTACACTGTATAGCCTGCACGTCAAAAGGCCTTTCGGAGTCCGAATCGGACGGCTGGGTGTCTGCATAGGACTTCGTGGCAGGTTCTATATAATGTCTGAACGATTTTAATAGTCCGTACAGACATTTTATAATATTAAAATAAAAACATGTATATTTTTCAGCTACGGGTTTTGTACAGACTTCTGTGACGTCTGTACATCTTTCGAATTGTTCCCGATGATGTGGTGCCACCACATCATCCACCACTGGTGGAGGTAGAGTGGACGTACAGTAAACTTGGTGTCATCTCGTAAATGTTGAGTCCGTCCAAACCAGTGAAATTGGGCAGTGGTGAGACGAGATGATGCACACTGACAACAGCTATGAGTTTAAGTCGGATCCAGGATGTCGACCAAAAATGAATCTGGAAGGTCATGAAAGCAATATGCAGTAATTCAAAAGCGGCAGAGCGCTACTTCGAAATAGGTACTGCGGTATCTTGTTGGTTGTTCCCTTGTGTAAAGCAGCGATTCATGTACATGTACTGGCACGTTGAAGTGCTCCGCAAAAAGACAAATCTCTGCACGATGGCATTGTCCGTATCGAGATTGATACTTTCAGAGTAGCAAAGGTCCTGCTTGGTACGAAATGCAATAACAATAAAAAATAAAAATAAGTTATTCATGCAATCCTCTTTGTTCGTGATACAGCTGGGAGGCACTATCCAGAGAAATCACTATCCCGAGCTGTACCACTATAAGGGTACTATCGCCTACAATGTAAGTTACATTGGACTATGCCACGGCTGCAAAGCTGAACGTGAGCGTGCGCTAAGCACTGATATGGAGCCTGGAGTCCTGAGATTCTATACCCGCACCCATCTTTGTGAGCTGCTGGAAGCACACGGGCCTTCTGGACTACCATAGCTGTGAATATGAGAGACCTGAAGAGGACCATCACCGATGAGCTGTCTTGATGATGACGCTTTTGCAGACAAAATACCTGCTGTCCATCGAAGAGCTGCTAAACACGCCAAAAGAGAGCGTTCCTGTAGGCAAAACCCACTGAATTGGGTCGCAAGCGGAAGCAAATGTCGTTGCTGGACTTCGGCAGAAGATCACCAAACGAACATTTTCTTCAGTTAAGGTCGATTCTATCACAGAGTACAAATCAGAGGTTAGAGGAAATTTTGACTTGGGCTTGTGCGCTGACGACTCCAACCTCCTTAACTAGAGGGATCACAATTTTGGGATACCACTACAAAGAGGATTGTCAGTTTGTAATATTATTGTGAGAGGCAAATGAAGAGCAAATAGTAGTGTACAGTACTACGTAGTACATTAGTGTCAGATATATTAAGGTGATCTACCGGCTCTTCAGATTCTGGGTTGCTGGCAAATTATTCATTCACTTGGTGTTTGTAAGCAACCAGATACAGCTACAATCAGAAATCTTGATGTAAAAAAGTAGTTTCTTTAGTGAAATCAAGATGAAACTAGATGTCAGTTACTAGCATCCGGCTAGCTACGAGACTTGCATCATGTGAGTGGAGGTACTGTAGCTGCCTTTTCAGCACCACCAAAAACGTGGTGCTATAAAATGTGAACATCGTGAATGTGTTTTCGTAGAGTACTTGTACAATTCGGAGCTTGAATATCTGGAGATAAACTAACTATTAAAGTACGAGAGACATTACTACCTGACGCCTTCAGATGTTGTTCTACATGCAGTAGGGCTGTACTGAGTCTAATGCTGTCGATACAGGTACTGTATATGGTAGAATGAATTTGGTGTACCGGTAAATTGAACTTTAATGCCTGTACCTCCTATGTTCCTGTATTTCAAATCACTGCCTCCTCTATTGTCATTTAGTAATCAGTGCGCCCTTTGAGAAAGGAATTTCGGTATTTCAGAACATTGAAAATGCTATTGTTATACAGTCGTGCACCTCGTATTCGGCGGGGTGGACCATATAGAGTCTACGAGCTGCGAATATTTATAGAGGAGCAGATGGAATCCAAATGTACTACTTTGTATTACCTTAATTAAGTACAAATCTCAAATCCATCTTCGACACAATACCAGTGTGATTCCAACAGTTTCGTATGGTCATTGTCGATACGTCTTGCCAACCTTCTGAGCACCACTTCATCACTGTATAAATATTGACGGGGGTATACGTCTCGCCTTTGTAAAACAGAGACAGTGTCCATGATGGCTCTGTGGCTGCCTTCCTGCACAATGTATGCTTATTGGCGAGATTCAACGTAGAATAGGCGGACGGGCGACGTGCCATGGCCTTTTGCGACAAAACTTATAATACTCTGCTGTATGGTGAAGTGATTGAGCTGATACATCGTGGCGGAAGTGCGGCGTTTCATCCCTCCTTGAGGTTATTTGGTCCAAAGGAGATGGGCAACTCATTTGCGCAATGCATGTGGCCCAATCATTAGATTGTGCAGGTTATTAAGCCATACCGGGGCCGAAAACGAGGTGCACGACTGTACAACGATATGTGCACGTATTACATGTACAGTGTACATGTAATACGTGCACATGCATTACTGTATCTCGAACGTATAAAAATGCACTCCTATTATACAACAGACTGGTCGCCGAACAAGACGAAGATTCATCCTGATCTGACCGGCCAATCTCAAAAGCATGGCATTTGTACCCATTGGGCACTACTCAACGCTGGAAACCGAAAGCAGGAGGAAACTGAGCTCTTTATGCTCTGCGCTAGTAAGCTGTTCCACCTAAATGTACTCATTTTAAAAGAGCCGACCGCATACTTTTGCCGGAGTAAAAATTATTATCACCAGTAACTTTACTTTTCGACTTCTACCGTACTGTGGCTCTCGAGCTCAGAAGTCCGAGCAGCGGCCCTTGCGCTCCCAATCTCCGAATCTCGTGGGTTCTTTGAGTTTCCCGCCGCGTGTCGGCCCACCATACTCAACGCCTAACGGTCCGATAGCCACTGTTTCCTCTGCGTCGTTGCCATCCAAATCGTCCAGGTTTTCCCCGTCGCTTCGGGGAGCTGCTGGGGTATTCGTGATGTGGGGCTTGCCGCTCGGATGTAACGCCACAAAATCCGCGTCACCTGATCCACTGGATAAAAGTATCGTGTGCGCTTTGGATATCGGGGCAGGCGTCTTCATCGACGCGAGCGAGCGCGTCGACCCGAACGACAAACGCAGCGCTCGTCGGAACGCCATGCCAATCGCAAAAATGACATACACGTGTGTTGCAGCATAAGTTATGTGAAACACTTCATTTCCCTTTAAACATGTGCACCACATAATTGTATTCCCAAAGGTTGCACACCGTGAGCAAAAATGGAGTTGGCTGCTGGAGGTTCGTCGCTCGGTGCGCTACGATCGTTCGCAGCCTCTAGTTATGCGCATGATAGACGCAATGCTGGAGGCGGATGTTGCGCGGACGCGCTGACCTTTTCTATGTCGCCTCCATCGGCCAGCGACGAGTTCTCGCACGAAGTTGCTGCCGGTTTCCTTTTTTCTGAGGAGATGAAGACTGTGCGACAGCTACAGGCCAAGTGCGACGAAGGACGGCAACTTATTAGCATCATCTACTGCTCCAGAAGCTGCGCCAGGGCCTTCCCCTCGGGTGTCGCTGCTAACGATGCGGAGCCCAAGAAGATGAAACAGTATTACCATGCCCTTTTCAGTGGTGGGCATCGATTGCGATGATACTTGTATTGCTAGGTCGCTGTGGAGATACAAGTAGTAATATGCTGATATTTAACTGTATAGTACTGCAACCACAGGTGGAAAAGATCAAGCAATTGAACGAGTACTGCTCGCAGGCGGTAGTGCTGCTGAGTGACAACATCCAGCGGACGACGGTGCACGAGAACATGACGAGAGTGATTCCGGATGTGATGATGGACGCACTTGTGGATATCATGGACGTCATTCTGCAGCTGAGTCACTTGCATGACACAAAGAGCAGCTTGAGGAATGATTTCTCCGTCTTCAAAAGGTTGGCGAGGGCTCCTGGTAGAGATGCGCGTGATGAACTGACATTTTGTTGGCCAGAACCTTTCTGCACATTAAGGACGATCTTCCAGACTCTGAGCTTGTAGAGAAGGATATCGTGCGACTCCAAGAGTTCATGGGGAGCTCCTATCAAGCGAAAGGTTCTGTCTGGGATTCACTGAGACACAATCTTACCAATGTCAAACGGTACGAGAACTGTTTTTAGCTCAAATATATCGAGCAGCCTATTGAAATATGACAAATATCTAGGTATGACCAAGTTACGTATTTACTGTTGAGACACTGTGTCAGTCATATCGAGAACGATGTGTGCATGACACCGAGCTCCAAGTTCAAGTACGTCCGAGTATTGTCCTATCTCATGGCAGTTTTGGAGGGATCGGATGCCTGGAAGAAAACGAATGCGCTGCCTGGGACCGACAAAAAGGTTATCGAGGCGGTACGCACAGCTTCAAGTAGGCTTTTTGTTTGAGCTGGAACTTAAGATTTAACCAACACAAACTCATGTTTTATACATTTTTGTATGCACTCAGGCCGTCAAACTTATTTCTCGCTATCCAGTTATCCCGATGCTCCTCGAAATCAGCATTAAACCTGTGAAGGCCCCACACGCACAAAGTGGTTACAAGCTGGAGTCGGTCAATGGTGCGCCTTCCTCAAAGAATCGCGATGTTATGTTCGATGCGGTTGCTGCATCTCGGGATTGCAAGGCGACATGTGAAAATTACCTTCCACGACTGCTGCACGCTCTGAATACGGTTCGGATTGGGTTTACTTGGTGTTGCTGTTGTGACACTAACAACGGATCACTGGCTACCTGTGTAGACAGGGGGTCAGGAATATACACCCGAGCAATGCGGTGCGTTGTATGAAGTTCTGGTGGAGGGAATATCATATTTAAGCAAGTGGAAAAGCAGTTTCTTGCTGTTTATGGCCTGGAAATACCAGGTAGGATTCAGTGTCATTGAATAATTGTAAATGTGTAACTAGGAGGTAATGGTGCAAGTGGTGGCCTGTGCGTGACAGAACCCAAGATCGATCGACGTGCTATGCGAAACAGGACTTCAGAATGAAAGCCCCTTTCTGGAATACGAACGCGTTACGAAGCACAATTACTCGGACGACGAGTGGCGCGCTATGGCCGATATTATTTATGCAGTCAAGTCGGTGGTGCAGATCTTGCGGGCCTCACAATCGCAGCTAGCCAAGTGTGTGCGTCGAACGGTGTATCTGCAGACTCAGACGTTCGTCCAGCACACGCTGCTCCCAATACTTCATAGAGCTGACAAACGCAAGTTGGCATGTACAAAGCTACTTCACGACATTCGTGCCATGGTACGCATCCTCGTTTAAGCTGAAAGATGCGGTTGGCTTAACTAATGTTGTATGGCGACAGTGTGGTGACTGGATTGATAGCGAAGTATTAGCGAGCGATTTCAAGAAGAAGCGCAAAGAGCGCAAGTTTTCTCATCTCCCTGATAGAACAGCAAGTGCCCCTCTTTGCCAGATTCAGATGCTCCGAACCGCAATTGATTCGATCGTTGCGAAGCGCTCTATGGGCGACTTGAATGCCAAATCCTCGACTTCATCTGCGCTTTTTACTTTCAGAAAGGATCTCGACAGGTAAATACGTGCTACAGTTTCTATTCTATGATAAGTATTATTGCTTTAGCGCTAACTCTGTTCGGGCGATCAGCTCAGATGCGGACATCCTCCGAGAATTCTACCGCACAGCTGGAGCTTTCCACGTTTTGCTGGATCTAAGTGCGACGCTCAACGAGCTTGGAGACTTCTCGAATCTCTGGTTCCGCGAGTTGTATGTGGAGTTGGTCAAGTCTGCCCAGATTCCGGCTGAAATTTCGCTGCCTTGGCTACTGATTGAGCACTGCCTTGACGAGAATACCTCGTTTGTGGAACCGGTTCTCGCCGTCTTAGACACGTACAATGACGCTGGGAATTGCTCGCTCTACGGACTTCAGCAGCAGCATCTGTACGATGAAACTGAGGCGGAAGGCAAGCTGTGTTTCGATCATTTTGTGTTTCTTCTCGCGGAACGAGTGTATCTTCATTACAAGACTGTGGCAGCAAGAACTACGTGTCGACAATGGATCGATCATGCCCGTCTACAGAGTAACGATGTGGCTCCCAAGAGCTCTTCTGCAACCCGACATAATCCAGCCGTGATGACGCTTTCGAAGCTACTGGATACGGATGACGTCGATTCCAAGTACGAATCGATTCTTACGCAGAGATACGTAAGCGTGTTTGGACGTTACTATGATCTTACATTTCAACTCGGCCAGCGTGTAGACGCTTTGGTGAGTAAAGATCTGGAGAACTGGTTCACGAAGTTTGAAGCTAGTGATGCGACGTGTTACGTCACACTGCTGAGTATGCTCAAGGTCTTGAAAAAGACCCACGAGTCTCTAGCAGTTTTGGGACTGGATGACTTCGATGATATACTCGGAGAAACAAACGACGAAACGCTTGGATGCTTCTTGGGGCATCCGGCTTCTGCGATCAGGTCCCGTGTACACGAGCAGATTTCACAAACCATTCTCACGGATCTTTGCCAGCACTTCGGCCTCAAGTTTGATGATCGACGATTCATACGAAGGCAGCTCCACGATGCGTTAACGATGACAGTGGGGGATCAGTTTGCCCATGAGGAGTGCCTGAGGAAAGCCAAAAAGCATCATTTATCAGGCAAGAGTGTGCTGCGAACCAAGATTGGACAGCCGAGCACAGGAAAAGCCAGTTATGGTGCTTTTGAGAAAACCATTACCGGGTCCTATCGTGCGTTCTTTGGGTGAGTAAGACATGTTGGCAAAGGAGTGGAAGTGCTAAGATATTTGCTAACATTCGGTGTTTCCATGGCTTTCTTTTTCCTACAGAGAGCCCCACATCGAAGCTATCTGTGAACTGCTTTCGCATCGAGAACTGCTTGATGTTGCAAACGACTGCACCGATTTTGCCGTTGCCAAGGTTTGTCTTGATTGAAGCATGCATATTTAGTACTGCATTAAGCTTCACGATGTTTGTTTTACAGATTGAAGACGTGCTGGCACTGTGCATCCCAGCGTTGGGCTCTGCCATTCCACCGTTTCGCCTTCCTCGATTTATGTATCGAACGGAAGGTCTGCTGACTTAAGTAGTACTTTATTTTTTCTTGCGTTATCACTCACGGGCTTGGATGATTTTTTAAGGATGTTTTGGATTCTTCGAGGGCAAGTACAAACACCTCCTGGACTCCGATGAGCTAGAAGCTCAGATATTCCATTGCTTCAGAGAGATTGGCAACGCGCTCATGTTTTTACTAATGCTCGGAAATGTCCTCGTACGCTACTGTGAGGCTGTAATGTGTTGAAATTAAAAAAAGCTGACTGCTTGGGTGCTGTAGAACTCGAAAGCGATCCAATTGAAGTCAACGGAACAGTCAGACCATGGTGAGCGACACCCGCAGTTACTCCAGTGTGTACTTGATCGGATCGACTCCATGCTGAAAGTGTCGGAAATTTCAAGCGAGTGGGAAGCCGAGCCGGATTCTCAACCGGAAAAGATGCCGAACGCTTCAAGCTTCTACCATGTGTGGTGTGCCTTCGAGTTTCTCAGCTGCAATCGCCCTCGTACTCGTCCCGGAGACTCAACGACGGATGAAGATTCTGCAATATCCCTACGCACGATGTTCGGAGATGGTGTGCAATTCGCTGGTTGCACGCTCGTGCATCTGCTGGGTCAACGCTCACTCTACGACCTCTGGAACGTCAGCCAACACGTGATAAACGTTCATCTTTGTGACGAAGTCAAAGCAGCTAGTGACGCGCAGATAGCGCTGGTTTCGAGCAAGAAAAGTCGACTTAAGAACGGGACACCCAGCGGCCAGACTACAGTCGGCACACTCGACAGAGAAATGGAGGAAAAGGCTGCTCGCTTCGTTGCGAACGCTCGAGGAATGCGTGCAACATCTGAGCGGATATTCCACATGCTCGAGATGACGTGGCCACTTGGCAACAACACACCAGCTACCTTCGCACCGCCACCTTTTACTCCACCGGTGAAGACCCCGTCATCAGTGTCTGCACACGCACAATATCCTCGATGAACAGCGATTGAGTTTGATGCCTGGCATCGTAACAAATATAGTAGACATTTAACGGTCAATAACTCCAAGTGCAGTTCCTTCTGCTTCTCAATTAAACATCTCTCTTCTTATACTGCCTCCTTATGACAGCCAGTATGCCGTGAAAGTGGCTAGCATGAGCACACTGCCGATCAGATACACCGTCGCGGACCAGTCCTCTATCACCGCTGCATTCTCCATGGCGCCTTTGGTACTGCTAGCAGACGACGTCGTTGTCGCTCCATCCGGAGTCAGCTGCCGCAGTAGTTCTTGATCTTTCTCCCGTTCTTCCTGTAATGCTACCAGATCCGGGAAGAGTTTCCGGAATGTAGCATTGGTACAATTGGACTCCAATGACGCCGCTGCATACTTCCGCTTTTGAGCATCCGTAGTACTAATACTCCCCAGTGTCGCCTGGTTCTCCAACTATAATAAAATGATGGTTAGCACCATATTTTACAAGGTTTGAAGTAGTTCTTGAGACCGACCCGCCCTACCATGAATGAATAGAGTCCCGTGAGGATTGAGCTAACAGACCACATGGGATTCCACGTCTCTGGGTGGAAGTCGGACATGCTGAGACATAGACGCTGGTTGGTCTTGAAGCGGCCATTAGGTGTAATCATCATGACGGACGGAGGCTTCATAGGATATTCGGGTGGGAACTTGAGCTTGCCATGATAGAACCCTCCCTCGTAGGGTGTTCCCTTAGTGCCTGTGATCACGTAGTGCCACTCCAGAATGTTGGTCTCTAGTGGCACCGCCTGAATGTAGTCCACGGGCTTGCGCTGCATGGCCAAGTACTCCTTACGGAGGCGCTTCGTCGCCATCACAGACGCCATAGCTGCTGCAACTTCGACACTGAGGGTGGATCAAACACGTGTACAGATGATGCCTTACTTTAATATAGAGTAATGCATTGTAATGATGGTGCCAAATGCCATGAAATCATCCCGTCACTCAAACAGGAACGGATCTGCCCGGAAAACAGCAACCACCAAAGCCGTAGGACGAACTACTGGAGAAAGTGGGATAATTCTTAACGAGCAATAACATGTACACCTGGAGCTAAACAGCTAGCACGTTCTGGAGCGCCAGGCACAGCTTAGTCAATCACGATGACGACTGGCTCCTTGGGGGCAGCACTCGCCTTCTCTTTCTCACGCTGCATTCTCACCAAGTCGGCGAATAGCACGCGGAAGTTCTTGTCCTTGCAGTTATACTCGAGAGACGCCGTTGCATACGCTCGTTTCTGTCAACAACAAGGTAATCAATCACTTTGAAGTTTTTCAACAAACTGCAGCTATTAGCTCCTACAGCGTCCTCCGTCGTCACAACACCTCCAGTAGTGAGCTTATTTTCAAGCTGCAGCGTCAGTAGCAGCGTGTTTGGTGAGTAATCTAATCGTTTTTGTTCAACTTAAACACGCACCATGAACGAGTAGAGACCCGTGAGAATGGAGCCGACGGCCCAGAGCGGGTTCCACGTCTCCGGGTGGAAGTCCGACATACTGAGACAGATACGCCGATTGATGTCGAAGCGGCCGTTGGGCGTGCACATAATGACCGACGGAGGCTTCATGGGGTACTCTGGAGGAAACTTGAGCTTTCCGTGGTAGAACCCCCCTTCGTAGGGCGTTCCCTCTGTCCCGGTGATCACGTAGTGCCACTCGAGGATATTATTCTCCAGAGGCGCCGCACGAATGTTCTCCACCGGGTTCCGCTGTAGCGCCACGTACTCCTTACGTAGCCGCTTTGTTGCCATCGCCGACGCCATCTTTTAACGACCTGAAATGGCGGGAAATGGCACCCCGCCAATACGTCTTACAGTTCCTTCAAAAACTTTAATCACCATACAGTATTAACTATTACGTTTTACCTTTGGTCTATTTTAATTGCTTGCTCAACTAAGTAAAACAAAAAAAATGATTTAGACGGGTATTTATTAAACAAGGAAACCTATGTGTTTCCTTTTTTGGCGCGCGCGGACCACCATTCCGCATTGAGAGACGTCTGGGAAGCGACCATGAGCTCACGGCGTGTGGGTGCGGGCTCTCGCCGTAGCAGCTCTAGCCGCAAGCAGGCGCTAGAGGAGATCAAGCGTATGCGTGACGGCGTCGAAGCAGAGGAGACCACCAGCTCGAGTCGTCTGGCGCAGTATAAGCCCCAGGAAGAGAGTATCTACAAGGCCGTGACGGATCAGGAGTACGAGGAGCTGGTGCGTCAGCGTCGTCAGGGTCTGCCCTTCGTTGAGAATGACGACGGAGAGATGGGCTACTATGACGATGGAGAGGAACAGTTCTTTGAGTCCGACCCGGAGGACACGGGAGCAGCTCAAGACGAAGATGACTCCGCTGCCGGTAAGAAACGCAGCGCTGGCGCCTTGTCCTCGTCCTACGTCCGACGAGCTAAGAAGATGCAACGTGCCAAGCTCGGAGGAGGAGAAGGACAGAAGATTACTAACATGTTCTTCTCCGCATCCTCCAACAAGACTAAGACCAATGGCGCAGCCCCTGGAGGAGTCAAGAGAACGACCGCTAAGAGAGATATCGATCTCGACAGCATGCTAGACGATCTCACAAGCAACCCCACAGAGTCAAGGGCAGCGTATGCGAGACCCATGTCGTACGCGACGGGATCTTCGACGTTCTCAAGCGGGACGTCGTCAGGCTTCACTGCCAGGAAGCCGTTCTCAGCCAATACCTCATCCTTTATGAGTAAGGATAACACTGTAGAAGAGGAAGATACGGTGGAATACGGTGATAACGCGTTCGAACCTGATGAGGACGAACCGATGCAAGAGGCAAGTGCCGATGAGGAGCGTGAGACGAGTACTGAAACTGAAGAAGTAGCTAATCACGAGGCTGAACCTGCCAAGCCGATTATGAGTAAACGAGAGATGATGCTGCGGAAAGCGCGTGAACAACGTCTACAGACTTCGGCGCCTACTGCCAGAGCGCTGGCTGCCCCTGTGGAGCAGAAATTACCGGAAGATGGGATGACGAGCTCTGTGCCTTCGAATGAAGTGGCTGAATGGTGGCACGTTGCAGGTGATGATGATGCCAACGTCTCTATGGCTGATGCCTCAGCGGACGATGCAGAACCCGAAACTTTACCGAGTGCTGCAGACTCGATCCAGATGTACTGGATGGATGCAGTTGAAGTCCGTGAACGACCAGGCAAGATCTACCTGATCGGTAAGATGAAGATCCCGAGCCCTGAAGGCTCTAACCAGCCGCCCACGTTCAGAAGTTGCTGTGTGGTGGTGAACAACTTGCAGAGATACATGTACCTTGTCCCCAAGGGCACCCCACTGATCGAACTGAGTAACACGGAGCAGCAAGAAGCGTGGATGAAGATGCATGAGGAGATCCACAATATCCTGATCCCATCGTGTATCACTAACAGACGTGACCAGGAGGTTTTCAAGACGAAACTGGTGGAACGCAATTACGCCTTTGAAGAGGCGAACATTCCACGTGGTAAGAACCAGTTCCTGAAGGTAAAATACCCGGCTAAATACCCAGCCCCGCCGTCGGACTTTTGTTCGCGTGGCGGCAAGACTTTCTCGCGTATTTGTGGAGCTTTCACTAGACCTCTGGAGAATTTCCTGCTTACTCGTCGGCTGTTGGGGCCAGGATGGGTGGAGATCAAGGGTGTACGCAAGTGCACTGAGGGTGTCAGCTTCTGCAAGATGGAGTTCGAGACTTTTGACCCCAAGAACGTCAGTCCTATCGCCGGTGGAATGTCTCCACCTCCTCTGAGCGTGATGAGTCTCAGTCTCAAGAGTGTGTGCAATCCTAACACTGGCAAGCACGAGGTGGTTGCGCTTTCAGCGATCACTGAGACAGGAATCAGCTCTGAGGGTGCTGGCAAGGGAACCAAGGGCGCAAAACACACCCTGTCACACTTTACTGCTATTCGCCCGCTCGATGAAAACCACGGCTTCCCTCAGGCCTACGCCGAGGCAGTTCAAAGAGATGACCGCTTTGGTATGAAAATGGAAAATGGAGCGCTCGGAATCAACAGCGAGCGATTGCGGGTGGAGATCAACGAGCGTGTCATGCTCAGCTACTTCCTCACGCGTGTTCAGCTAGAAGACCCGGACGTGATCGTTGGCCACAATTTGCACAAGTACGCGTTGGAGTTGCTGATCTCGCGTATCGACAACTTTAGACTCGGTGGACTTTGGTCAAAGCTCACGCGTCTTCGTCGTGGTCGTCTCAACCCCATGAATGTGGGCGAAGGCTGGAACGAGTACAGGATGGACGACATGGTGAACGGCCGGCTTTTCTGTGATACGTACGTGTCGTCGAAGGAGTTGCTGCCGTCGCAGAACAACTACACACTCTCGTACTTGGTAGAGCGACTTCTACACAAGCAGCGATTGGACGTTGAGATGACTGAGATTCCTCAAATTCTTCTTGGTGGGCCCGACAATTTCGTCAAGTTCCTTCGCCATACGCTTGATGACGCTATGTTTGTGCTTCATTTGATGCACAAACTCGAGATCCTGCCGCTGTCCAAGCAGCTTGCGAACTTGTGTGGGTACATGTGGACGCGTACGCTCGAGGCGAACAAGCGTGCAGAACGAATCGAATACTTGCTGCTTCACGAGTTCAGCCGTTCGAAGAATAAATTCATCGTGCCGGAGAAGTTCAAGAGCAGAACTGAAGCTGACAAGTCCAACAAGAGACGAGAAGCGTCTTATGCTGGTGGTATGGTGTTCGCCCCCAAGAAGGGACTCTACGACAACTTTGTGGTGCTGCTGGATTTCATGAGTTTGTATCCGTCCATCATCCGAGTATGTACATTATTTATGTAGTCTGTCTGTTTGGTATTGCGTTACTGTATATTGACACTCACTGCGTCTATTCTTTTGAACTGTAGGAGTACAATATCTGCTTCACTACTGTGGAGCGACAGCTGAACGAAGATGTGTCTGGAGCGCCGTCATCTATAAAGAAGAAAAAGAAGTCGAAACCGATGCCTCAGCCTGAGAATGATGAGGTAGTGGACGACGAAGACATGGATCAAAACCTTGATAATGCTGACGCCAGTGCTGACTCGGAGATTCCAGCTCTACCGAGTAGCGCGAGCGAACCTGGTGTTCTGCCTGCTGTGATCAAACGCTTGCTGGAATCCCGCAAGCAAGTGAAGCAACAGCTTAAAATTGAGCAGAAGGAGGGGAACGTTGAGAAGGCCAACATGCTCGATATTCGTCAAAAGGCTATCAAGCTGACGGCAAACTCCATGTACGGCTGTTTGGGTTTCCGCTTCTCGCGCTTCTACGCCAAGCCCATCGCTGCGTTGATTACATCGACTGGTCGACAGACTTTGCAGCGTGCCAAGGAGGTGGCTGAGCAGGAATGCGGCTACGATGTGATTTACGGTGATACGGACTCCATTATGGTTGATTCGCGGACCGAAACTCTAGACGAGGCGAAGCGCATTGGTCGTGAGATTCAGGCTCAGTGTAACAAGCATTTCAAGCTGCTGGAGCTAGAAGTGGACTACATTTTCAAGCGGATTCTGCTGCTGAACAAGAAGAAATACGCTGCCTTAGTGATGAAGGAACGACCTAACAGCGAACCTACGTTCGACAAGGAAGTCAAGGGTCTTGACATGGTGCGTCGTGATTGGTGCGTCATCTCAAAGGCGGTGGGTAACGAGGTTCTCGACTTCATCTTGTCTGGAAACTCGCGTGACGATGTGGTGGAGAGTATTCACGAACATCTGGAGCAAGTGGCGGAACGTATGCGCTCTGGAAAGGAGCCCATTGAGCAGTACGTCATCACCAAGAGCTTAAACAAGCAACCTGAGCAATATCCGGATCGTGCCAAGCAATACCATGTCCAAGTAGCGCTCGCTTTGCGTGCTCTAGGCAAGCCAGTCGGAGCAGGCACGCACATCGCATACGTGCTGTGCAAGGAGGAAGAGCCTGGAAGTGGTCGTCGTGCCTACCACCCGGACGAAGTGAAGCGCGCGAACGGGAAGCTCAACATCGACGTCGAGTGGTATCTGGAGTCCCAGATCCACCCACCAGTTAACCGTTTGTGTGCTCACATTGAAGGAACTTCAAGTCCACAGCTAGCACACTGTTTGGGTCTGGACACAGCCAAATTCTCGCATTCGGCCAACCATTTCGAAGAGAATGACGGCGGTGACGCCATTCCTAGTGTTCTGCAGAATGACGCAGACCGATTCAAGGACTGTGTTCCGTTGGAGATCACTTGTGACCGATGCAAGATGGCGAGCGCGTTCCCCGGCGTGTTCGGTACTTCTGAAAAGGACAGCTCGCTAGCGAGCGGACTGCTTTGTCCTGTGTGCAAGGCAGACTTCTGGGGCTTCGACAAGGAGGGAATCTACGGAAACGTGGGCGATGATCTCCAGGCTGTGCTGTCGAATCGACTTCACATCGCGACGCGACAAGCGACGAAGAAATACTACGAGGCATGGGCAGTGTGCTCAGACGTGACGTGCAAGACGCGGACTCAAAAGCAATCGCTTCGAGGGAACGGAAATATCTGCTCAGCTGCTGGTTGCAGGGCTACAACGACGCTCGAGTACCCGGACAGTGCCTTGTACACTCAACTCAAGTATTTCGAATCTCTGTTTGATGCTGAGCGAGCTCAAAAGAAGATCCGAGAGCAGAAGGAGCGCGTTACAAGCACGACCACTGTGACGGAGCCCCCTCCGCTTTCTGAACGTCACCGTGCTGTGCTGCAGAAATTGCTGTCTCAAGCTGAAGAGGTAAGCCAAGTTTGCTGGTATAATCTGCTTGCAGTAACTTTGCCTAACGAACACTGTTTCTTTTTGTGCAGGCTGTCCACCGTGATGACTATAATTGGGTCAAACCTTCCATTTGGCAGACATTGTTTACGTAGGGACCCCTCAGTCTTCCAGGCTGTGGTGCGGGAGGTTATAATGCATAGAAAATGGTGTTCCACTCATACTCAATTTCGGCTGTTTGTGTCTTTGATGTTCGCCACTGAGACGAGGCTGGGTGACAAGATGTTCAACGGTGCAAACATCTAGGGACAGTTAGTGCGTCCATTTTCTGTTTTCAACCTGATGGAGATTGACCACACGTAGTCACGAACCATCAATGAGTGTCGTGTACATTGCAAGAAAAGCCACGACACGATGTCGGATTTCACTGACGACGAAGATCGACAACTTGCTCAGTGGGCGCTGATGTTTACACGCAACGATCAGCAGATTCTATGGGAGAAACTCACACAGCTGATGAAAGGCACCAAGAAGTCCAAGGAGGCACTTCGTCAGCGTCTCAAGACTCTTAAGCGCACTCACGGCCGCCGCCTCGAGCAGTTCCCAGCATGGTACTTCAAAAAGGTGTTCGTCACCCAAGTCAACCCTCAGCGACTGCGGACTTCACGTCGCACGAGTGCCAAGCTCAAGTCCATTCGCGAATCAGACAAGCGCGTCAACAAGAGCCGATGCAAGCCACGACGACGTACCGTCAGCGAACCAGAAGCATTCCGCTCGCCAGCTAAAACTTCCACGAAGCTGGAGAAAATGTCGCCAACACTTAAAACACCGCCACAATGTTCAAAATGTATGCCCGCGATGAAGACTGAGCCACTCCCTTCACTGCTATTGCTGGCATCCGTAGCCAGCACTTCGCATGGACAGGGAGTGATGGATTCTACCGACGCTCGAGTGTAAGCAGAAGGCTGCGACTGTATTTCTTGTGTGTTTTATTTTTGTATTTACTAATTAATCCAGGTCCTGAATTGTTTCTTGGTCGGTTATGCGCTGGAATCTGACCCTATATTTGCGCTTCAAACGGCCCAAGTACTAAGGATTTATTTTATTTTATTTTCTCTTTGTCTCGAGCCTAGAATCATGATCGCTCGGGAGGAGGAGGAAGCGACAATCGACTCGACGCCGTGGCCTATCAACCGACTCAGCTACATCGAGTTGAGCTTACAAGACACGACAGCTATTGAGAAACTCTTCACAGGTCGAAGTGACACTCCGTTGCTGATGAAGTGGGTGATGCTCCACAAGTCTGGATCCAAGTTCCGTCCGAGGCTTGTGGTGCTCTCGGCACTTCGTTTGTGGGTTTTGAAGCACAAGAAGACGTTCAGCAAGGCGCTCACACTACGTCGAAAGTATCAGCTGATGCACGTGAAGAAACTCACTGCGCTGCGACCAGACCCGGCCTCGTCGACGCCTGACAACTCGTCTACAGTCTCAATTCGCCTCGCTGTTCTGCCGAGACAAACGAAAGGAAACAGTGAAGCCCCAGTGATGCTGCACTTTGACCCCGGTACACACACAGAGAACTTTGTACGACTGCTTCAGCGATTACTATACGCACTTCGACTTACTTTCTTACAACAGAAGATGCCTCCAGTGACGCTCCCACCTGATTGCCATTGGCGAGAGTTCTTCCCAGACGAGAGTGATATTTATCTGCACGACCAAAACCAGAACGAAGAGAAGACAACCAACCCAAACCTAGTTTTTGCTGCCATGGCGACGGCTTATCAAGCTTTTTGCGATGACCTGGGAGTGCGCTTTCGCGATAGTGTACCCGTTCGGCTTGAGGAATGTGCTACTACAACTGGGTGTATGGATTTTCAGTACTGTCTCGGTTTTCCGCCTGGAGTTGACGGCTACGAACACCAGGATCACTTTGCAACTCCATTACACGCTTTTACGCGCTTGATTATGGACGTATGCTTCCCTTCTTCCTCGCGATCAGTGACCAATTTCCAGTCGAAAGAGATACAAGCTCTTGCCAGGACACTAGAACGCTCGAGTCAGTTTACCGATATCATCATTAGTGACCTGGCAATGGGACAAGCAAGCTTAACTGTGCTGTTCCAAGCGTTGTTATCACCGCAGTGCACTATTGAGGGCTTCACACTCACGAATGTACAGCTCTCAGTGCGAGCGTTGCGTATCCTCCAACAAGTTGTGCTTCAATCCACGATGCGACAAACCGGAAATGCGACCAAGATAAAGCTCCGACGTCTGGATTTTTCCTTTAACCGGTTCACAGTTACCATGGCTACCGAGCTAGCTACAATTCTCCAACTATTACCCTATAGCCTTGAGCTTTTTCAGCTGGAACGATGTGGCTTGTCCACAGTATCTTGCTGTCGAGTACTTGAGGCGTTGACGACAAGCACGGCGTTTTCTGCTTCATTATTGGAGCTAAACATCGCAGGAAACCGTCTCGGTCTTGAAGGCACGAAAGCTCTCGCTGCGTGGATCACTGGGACTTTCGCTCTTCAACGACTCGACGTTTCTCGAACACAACTCGACATCAATATCTTCATCCAAGCTCTTAAACAGAACACTTTGCTTCACGAGTCATCGCTGGTACAGCTTGATCTGTCGTACAACCAGATGCGCACACAAGCCAGTGAGGATCTCGGTGTCATTTTGGGCAAATCTCAGAGTCTGGCAACGATTTTCCTGCGGGGCATGAAACGCTTTCGACATTTCCACAAATTGTTACCTCCTCAGTTACAGAAAGAAGGCACACTTTTGGCTCTCTCTGAAGCTGCTGTGGTGGCCCACACTGCAGCCGCACGAAGGAATGGAGGGACAGTGCATCGAGCCGATGGTCTTCGCAAACTCTTCCTGCGTAACATCTTGGCGCCAATGTTCGCGAATACTGATAGGAGCTGGTCGTGTATGGTGGATCTGAGCGACAACGACTTGAGTGGCCATCGAGCTGAAGTTCTAGCTCAACTTCTGGATGAATCACCGTGGGCTACACGAACTTCGCTACGACTTGATCACACACGTCTTCACGATAAAACGGTGCGCATTAAGCGATACGGCTACAGTATACGTGTAATATTTCTACTGACTCTTGTTTGTGACTTCAGGCGTTGTTACTGCTCCATTCGATACGAGGATGTAAGACTTTGGACTCGTTAAGTCTGGAAGGAAACGGGTTTGTTAAGCGTGACGCCCACCGGAAACGTAAACGACAGAACGAAAAGTGTTACAGTGACGGTGTGGCACCCTCGGAACCAAGTGTAATCGAACAAGCAGGTTCAAATGCGTTGGCTTTGCTGCTTGGAGGTGCCTTGGACTGCAACGACAGTCAGGTACAGAGTTGGTTGGGAGCGAACGATGCTGGAGTTGCATCTGCATCATTCTTTGCGTATTCCTCGGCTGCGAAGCCTCTGCGTTTGAAGGAGCTGTGTCTGAAGTGTGACGGCTCTTATGTCTTCGGCACTCACATTATCACGGCAGCAGTCCAGGCACTGGCAAAGCCACATGCATACTTGCAGATGCTAGATGTTACTGGTAACGAGTGTGGAGACGCATTGGCTCAAGTTCTCGGCGATGTATTGCCTAAGAATAAGAGTCTGCAGGCTTTGTTTTGGGACGGGAACTGCATCACTGTCGATGGATTCTTCCAATTCTACGACGGACTCTTGAAAAACAATACATTGGCCATGGTACAAATGCCGATTCAAGATACTCGACGGGTACGATATCGACTTTTCTTGAAGAGAACATGTATGTAGCTAATTCTATTTATCTGCTGCTTAGATTTTGGAAGAGCAGAAAGACCCACCGCGTGAGAAGCTCTTCAGCATTCTGGGCAAAATCTTCAAAGCCACGGAGCGAAATCAGATTTTGGCTCGAGAGAACAAGGAGCGGAAAGCTGAAGCACGCAGTTCCCGAGGTCAAGAAGCTCGCGGACAAGGCGTAAGTATTCACCCACAGCCAGATGAGAAACCGGAGGTTGAAGCTACAGAATTACCGATAAAGAAGGGAGATTCCATCGATGCTGAAATCAAAGAAAGCCTCAATTCGGTAGGACTGGCGCTGGAGAAATGTCCTTCTCCCAAGCTGGCAAGTTTCGAGGAAGGACGAGAAGACGGCGATCGACAGAATACCGCTCGCAAGAGCTATTCCAGACCGACAAGTGCTCGATACCCGTCAACGATGCAGTCGTGGAGCATGCAGCAAAGCAGCACAGATGACCTCCGTACACAGCTTAAAAAATTGGACTCACTGACCGCTTCATTCTCAGTGACGTCGTCACATACTACTAGGTAGAATAAAAGTCTCACCTTGATTGTGCAAGCTCATCAGCGTTGACTTGAGTAAGCATTCTGATCAGTGTTCCAGCCATCAAATTTCGCGAAAAGCTCCTTCAGAAACTCAGTGGGACAAATTGATTGCTCGACCTGATTCTCGTCTCTCTCATTTTGAAAAAATGCTTATCTGTGGACTGAACAAAGTATTCCATACGTTGGGAAACCGCGGGGCGGGGCGGGGGGGGGGGGGGGCGAAAAGACCACTGTGTTCGCGGACAAGACTTTAACTGTTTCCCCCCTTAAACTTATCAAAAACTTAAAAGAAAGCAGTCAGATTTACTCGCAAGAGTTGCGGTACTACAGTACAAAGCAAAACCCGTGAGAGACGCCTCATCCGCTGCTTTGATTTCGTTGACATCATCGCATGCTAGGTTACGTCGAAGCCTACAGCAATCGCATCGAAGAGAATTCACCAAATCATCGTAGATTTCTCGGTCACTTGCGCGAATTGAGCCCCTGCAAGAATGAGCTGAGGCTGCTTTTGACAGCGACTGCGGCAGCATCTGGTTGTGTCTTTTTCTTTTTTTTCTTCCGCTTGGGTCCATCCAGCAGCTTCCTTGGCGGACTTGGAGGTGGCACAAACACGTTCGTAGGCGCTGTCTTCAGCTCATCAGTCGATGCAGCCTTTATCTCCTCCGTTTTTCCAGGCTCATTATTGTCCGCTTTCAACTTCTTTGCCTCTCCAGCTGAAGTAAACTCCGTCTCCTGCTCTTCTCGTGCTCGTTTCTTGGTCTTGGCCTTGTAAACTATTGACGCACCGGGCCGGTCATTGGCATGTTGACATCGATGACATGTTACCCTCTGAATAAGAATACATAAAATACTGTCAAAACATGCATGGCCCGCATACATTTTTCCCGTTCTACCCACCACAATGGTCGACAACGCCTCACGGGCAAGGCGGGGGCCATTGCTGCCATTCTGCTGCTGAATACAGCGCTGCTGTCTGGTCAATCGACGATTGGCCGGGGACTTGAGGGTTTGTGGCACAACGCGAGCGTCTGCCGACACGCTAGGCACCAAGAGGCCTCCGCAATTTTTACAGATAAAGTCCAGCACTGGTTGCGGCAGCTGTGCTCGGCTTGATCGAGCTAACTGCATCATGGTCGCACTGAATAAACTTTTAGCACGATTATTTAGTGTGCATACGGTTTTGGACGACGTACATCATGTGGTTGGCCAGTGTGGGGCTGGTGGGCAGCAGCGTATGTGCTGAGCTCCAGAGAAAGGTGAAGCGCTTCTCTAGCTGCCGAGAGTTCGCGGCACTAACGACCTTCATTTCTGGAAGGAGCAGGGAGCCTTGTACGACGCTCGATACAGGTGGCGACGTTGTACATGTCGTCATTGGCAGTGTTGGGGGTCTGGGTATTTTGGGTAATGGGCTCTAAAAGCCAGAAACCCAATAATCCAGGCTGGGTTTTAATGCTTAAATATGAGTTAATTGTTTTCTAGTTTCATGATACCGGTAGATACAATGACAACATATAATATATGCTGTGTATATTAAACATATACAATGACTGCATGTGTAATAGAAATCAGATCACAAAGCATTAAGCATCGTGATTGGTTGATTGAAAATATTATCAGAAATTTACTGTGGTATTTGTTAACTACTTGTGCTGTTGTGCATGCTGGTATTTGCATAGTCAATTGTTGATCGTACCGCATGTAATTTTCCTCTGATCGCTTTGGGAAGCTGGTGTAAAGCTGTGATAACATCGTGTTAAAAGACGACGCCAAAGACTTTAACAGCTGCGGCAAGTTCCATTGAAAATATGTTTGTCACTCCCTCTGGTAGCACTTCAGCTCCGTATACAAGATCTAAAATATGCTGCATGACTTTCCGGGAACGGCATTGCCTCATGTGGTGATTTGGCTGGATATCATGTTGTTTGCTAAGCAACTTGTATAACCGAATATGGTGTCTTTATTACCGAAGAACCAGATATTCCATATTTGCTTTACGCTCGTGTGAGCCGGAAACTCCCATCCTTTTGGTACGGTGTGCCCCAGTTGGCCATCTCCCCACTGCCAAGTATGCCACTCTGCTGATGGCGACTCTGCTGATGGCGTCTCCACTGGTGCGGCTACCCCGCAATCGCGTGGCGGATGGATCGAGCTGATTGCGTTGCGAAACTCCGTTGCCAGGTCAGCTCGAAGACTAGCGAGATCTCGAAGGGATACAGGAGCAACACCACCCACAACGAAATGTCCTCTTAGCTCGGAGGTAACTTTGTCAGCGACACTGCCTGGTAGTATAGTTGCAACGTCACTCTTCAACTGTTTAATCTCTTCATTGAGATTAGTCACCTCCTTGCGTAATTCTTTGACCTCCTTAGCAACTGCAAGATGAGCGGGTATACCCGTAGATTTCATTCCACACACTGGGGAAGTGCCAATAGCTAATACTATGACCCCCCGCTGTTGGTTCAATAAGGGGTTAGCTGAAATTTTTTTTGCTCTGAATACGGGGTAGTTAGGACTGAAGCTGGCACGAAGATAATTCATGATGAATCACCGAGGCCAATAAGAACGGAAATGTGGATATCACACCACGTGAATAGTTGCTAAATCCACTTACAATATTCTCCCAGTAAGACGAAGTCATGGCTTGTGTTATCGCAGTCGGGAAGCGCGGTGGCAGCACTCCAAATTTCTCTGAATTGAACGGCAACCCAGCAATCATTCTGCCACAGAGCTGATCTGCACCTTGCCCGAAATGAATGTACATGTCCTTTAGCTTGCCAAGACTTTGGCCCATACGCAGATATACCGATACTGGTGTGGGGCCGTTTACCTGCCCAAGGGCATATGAACTGCTTCCCCCCGCAGACTGTGCGTCCCAATATCGACAGGATTGCAGCTGAGTAAACCTATTTCTTCCTCGCTCAAATCACCAATGACCCTACGCAGCATCAGTCCAAAACGGGTTTTGTTGTCGCTTTCTAGAACGATCTACTGCTTTCCACCAACAACTCGTTCAGGACTGAAAAATAAAACCACGCCAGCAGCTAGTATTGGATACGGTGAAGGCTCGTAGGGATTAGCGTACTCACGTTTACCAAATTTCTTCGCACCAGTTTGGTCACCTTTATGGCCTTACTCCTCGATGGCCAGACATTCACTAAAGATGCTGTAGCATGATCGTATCCGTAGAGTCGGAACGGCTCATTGGGTTCCACATCAAGACAAAGTAGCACCACACTAATAAAACCGTTGCCCATGACTGGCCTCACTTAGCTGGTGCTATTGCCATCAGCTTCATCGCTAGTAGCTCAAACCCACTGGCTTTCAGCTGGCGCTTGCCCTCGTTAATCGTCATCAGACCGTGCTTCTTTAAGTTATTAACCACCTTCTCATATCCATCTAGAACACACCGCGATTCCATATCCACGGGCTGACCCAGCTCCAGTAACTTGTTGTGATACACATCAACAAGCACACTACGGTAACCCCACACACAAGTTGCAGAGAGCGGAGCACTAGATGCGTCGTTGGAGCTAATGTCGTCGCGATCGCAATCATGAACACCGAAGAAGGCTAGAATTGCTTCTTTTAAGAGGGAGACGCGCTGTGACGGGGTCACACAGCACCTTGCGCTAGAGGAAGCTATCTTCTGAGAGTATACAAACTCTCAGTGAACGGCAGTTCACAGGTCCCCTTTTTATTCAAAAGAGAGCGAAGTGACCTAATTTAGGTAGAATGTAAACTGAGTATATTTAAAGGTAGATAAAGCTTGGGTTTAATACAAACTATAAGTCACCTATAGAAATGCAATGTCGTTAACCAATGGTTGGCTTTGAACGACCTTGGTACTTTGTACCAAATATCCCGAAGTATGACGTGTCCCACTTCATGTAACCAGGATACAATTAGGGCTACGTACCCCGTTACATCCTCCCCCACTTAGGTTCGGTTTACCGACCGATCAGAATGAAGAGATGTTCGTCACAAACTTTCATTCTCAAAGTCGAAAACCATCAACTTGGCCGCGCGAGCGCGGCGGAGGCTCACTTCACAGTTAGAGCCTCGAGCAGCAGTCTGTGCGCTCTTCTTCTAGGTCTCCACTTCGACCGTTTACCATGCCTCGTGGCACAGCAAAGAGCGGTGCTAAGACACGCTCCAAGGCTGCTGCCGGTAAGGCGCAAGCCAAGAGCACTAAGCCTCACGGCAAAGGCTCGGCACTTAAGGAGGCTACTCAGGTGGCCTCCGAGGCGATCGGTTCCTCGGGTGACGCGGCTGTGGGCAAGCGAGCAAGCAAGCACCGCAGCCCGTCGTCCTCGGCCTCTCCAGACAATCGTCCGAACCCTCGGTTCGTAGAACGTGAGTTCGACTCTGGCAGTGAGGACGAGGCCGAGTCCGAGAGCACGCACGATACTCCTGCGGGCTCTATGGGAGGGCACAGCCCAGTGCCCAGCGAGCACAAGGATGACAGCGTGCAGTCGCTCGCAAGTGATCAAGGTGATCACAGTCCCAGGACGTCTGTGTGCTCTGAGAGTCCGGCCGTCAAGGCTAAGGGCACTCCCAAAGCTGGTGGCGATGAGGAAGAGAATCCTCGCAAACGTCTCTCGCTTGCCGATGGTCTTGCGCGTGCTAAGGCCTCTAAAGCCGAAGGCGCCAAGCCCTCAAAGAAGCGTACAGCCTCGAAGTCTCCACTTCGCGAGGAGAAGGAGACTCGGCACTCCCATCGGGGCATCTTCGACTCCATGAAGAGGAGGCAAAGGAGGAAGAAGAGGAGGATGAGGGTGCTATCTCTGAGCCCCGGGAGGTCAAGAATGACCTCCTCCAGCAGCAGGAGGATTTCTAAGCTGCCCAGCTAAGTGTACCCTGGTTACATGAAGTGTGACACGTCATACTTCAGGATATTTGGTACAAAGTACCAAGGTCGTTCAAAGCCAACCATTGGCTAACGACATTGCATTTCTATAGGTGACTAATAGTTTGTATTAAACCCAAGCTTTATCTACCTATAAATACACTCAGTTTACATTTTACCTTAATTAGGTCACTTCGCTCTCTTTTGAATAAAGAGAGGACCTGTGAACTGCCGTTCACTGAGCGTTTGTATACTCTCGGAAGATAACTTCCTCTAGAGCAAGGTGCTGTGTGACCCCGTCACACTCGGTAGCACTCGTAGTCAATCTACGCCACCGCGGGTAGACTACCTGAACCTCTCCGAAGTTCGTTGCCATGGACAGGAACGACTTCTCCCATACGAACGACGCTCAGTTCGAGTCAGTTCGGAAGATGGCAGGCATCTTCGGGATGGAGGCCCTGCAGAGCCTGGTGGTGTCAACACCCACCTAGCACCTCGAGCGCGTCAATGCGTTCGACGCGTACGAGCAGGGGCTCATCGCGCATGTGCGGGATAACCTGCAGGCTCCGGCGGCGGAAGCGAATCCGCCACACTCGAAGTCAATACGGCTGAAGGTTAAGCCGTCTGAAGGGAAGGAAGGCGAGAACCTTCACTTCTGGGTCCGAGAAGTAGAGCTCGCGATGGACGCGGCTCTGATCTCGACCGAGCAACTTCGTGTTGCTTTTGCACTCTCCAACCTTAGCGGCCGTGCTGAGAGTTGGGTGTACACGCGGGAGGCAACATCCCCTGGATGTTTCACATCCTGGGCTCAGCTGTGTGAACAGCTCCGAGCCGCGTTCCTCCCGGCGAACTACGAGTACCGCCAGCGTTCGCGCTTCCTCTCGTGTAAACAAGGGAGGCGTGAACTGCACGAGTACGTGCAAGAGATACGGGAGCTCACGGCGTCCCTAATGGGAAATCCACTCAACGAACACATCAAGATGACTGTGTTCATGGACGGCCTTCGAGTGGGCCCCACACGCACTCAGCTGTTCCGGGTGCAGTCAAGCACCCTTGAAGAGGCGATTCAAGTGGCTCTTCAAGAAGAGTACAGCCATTGCCAGGCGCGTACGCCGGCCTCAGCGTGGCCTGGGAGTTCCTTGTCGGCTCCCGGTCGAACAAGCCCCAACCGACCAGTTCCCATGGAACTCGGGTCCGCCGAGCAGCGTTACAGTCGCTGCTTCGGCTGCGGGAAGATGGACCACTTCAAACGCGACAGTCCCGCGGAAAGACTCCGCAGACGGTCCTTCCCCAATCCCGTCCTCAAGGGTCGCTGGCAGAAGCCAGGATCCCGGGGACAGGGGAACGCCGGGAACCAGTAGGGGCGGGCGCGGGCCCCCTACTGGGGAAGAACTAAGTCTTCGTGATGGGTGCGCGGGTGGCGCGTACCACGGGGACTTAGCCCCTGAGAGGCTTCGCAC